AGGAGGGAGCAAGCTTGTTTTCTGCTTCCTTGGAGACTAGAACGTGGAACGATGGCTTCAAACTACAAGAGAGGAGATTCCATCTGAACATGAGGAAGAACTTCCTGACTGTGAGAGCCGTTCAGCAGTGGAACTCTCTGCCCCAGAGTGTGGTGGAGGCTCCTTCTTTGGAAGCTTTTAAACAGGGGCTGGATGGCCATCTGTCAGGGGTGATTTGAATGCAATATTCCTGCTTCTTGGCAGGAGGTTGGACTGGATGGCTCATGAGGTCTCTTCCAACTCTTTGATTCTTTGATTCTATGATTCTATGATTTGCAGTGAATCAATGCTATGGAATAATGGGAGTTGTAGTTTGGTGAGGCACAATATTTGGCAGAGGCTAAAGGTATTGGCAGAGGCTAAAGACAATTATGCTGGGGAAAATGGAAGGAAAAAGGAAGAGGGGCCGACCAAGGGCAAGATGGATGGATGGATGGCAGGCCTGTAGCCAGGATTTAAATTCAGGGGGAGCTGAGTTTGATTCATAGAATCAATGAATCATAGAATCATAGAAGCACAGTATGTTAAAGCACTGAGCTGCTGAGCTTGTTGATTGAAAGGTCGCAGGTTCGATTCCGGGGAGCGGCGTGAGCTTCTGCTGTCAGCCCTAGCTTCTGCCAACCTAGCAGTTCGAAAACATGCAAATGTGAGTAGATCAATAGGTACCGCTCCGGTGGGAAGGTAACGGCGCTCCATGCAGTCATGCCGGCCACATGACCTTGGAGGTGTCTACGGACAACGCTGGCTCTTTGGCTTAGAAATGGAGATGAGCACCACACCCCAGAGTCAGACATGACTGGACTTAATGTCAGGGGACTACCTATACCTTTACCTTTAAGGCCTTCTCGTGGACCACCATGAGAATTTCGGGAGGGGGGGCTGAAGCCCCTCAAGCCCCCCCCTCCCCCCGGCTACATGCCTGATGGGTGGGATCCTTGAAGTGACTGGATTGACCTTGAAGGAGCTGGGGGTGGTGACGGCCGACAGGGAGCTTTGGCACGGGCTGGTCCATGAGGTCACGAAGAGTCGGAAACAACTGAATGAATGAACAACAATAACAAAGATCTTGTAAAATGACAACTCCCATGATACCCTAGCATTGATGCCAAACTGTATTAATACAAAAGTGTAGATGCACCCTGAGATGAACTCTGAAAACCATATTTGATGATGTCACATAAAATGCTTCATAGTAATACCCAGTGTTGGGGGGGGGGGGGGTTCCATGATCAAATAATGACAGGGTTCATGTCTTATCTCATTTTAGCTGAAATTCTATAGAATCATTTAACAATGTAGGAGGTCACGGACAACAACACTGAGCTACCACATTAACCAAAATCCATATTTTATTGGGCCCCAAACAGCAACACATACGGCAGCGCTTCTCAATCTGGGGGTTGGGACTCCTGGGGGGGGGTCACGAGGGGGGTGTCAGAGGGGTCGCCAAAGACCATCAGAAATCACAGTATTTTTCTGTTGGTTGTGGGGGTTTTGCATGGGAAGCTTGGCCCAATTTTCTTGTTGGTGGGGTTCGGAATGCTCTGTGATTGTAGGTGAACTATAAATCCCAGCAACTACAACTCCCAAATGTCAAGCTCTATTTTCCCCAAATTCCACCACTGTTCACATTTGGGCATATTGAGTATTTGTACCAATATTTGGTCCAGATCCATCATTGTTTGAGCCCACAGAGCTCTCTGGAGGTTGGTGAACTATAACTCCCAAACTCAAGGTCAATACCCACCAAATCCTTCCAGTATTTTCTGTAGGTCATGTGGGCCAAGGTTGGTTCAATTCCATCATTGGTGGAGTTCAGAATGCTCTTTGATTGTAGGCGAACTATAAATCCCAGCAACTACAATTCCCAAGTGACAAAATCAATCCCCCCACCAATCCCACTTATTGGGTATTTGTGCCCAGTTTGGTCCAGTGACTGAAAATGCATTCTGCATGTCGGATATTTACATGGCAATACATAACAGTGGCCAAATTACAGTTGTGAAGTAGCAATGAAAATAATGTTATGGTTGGGGGTCACCACAACATGAGGAACTGTCTTAAGGGGTCACAGCAATAGGAAGGTTGAGAAACTCTGACATACGGTATATCTGCCCATGCGTTTTAGGGAGGCAGTGGGGCACTTTGGCTGAGATTTCTAAATGCCTCTCCCTTTACTACAAATCTAATGATTGAATAGGTTGTTTTCATAGCATTTAAAGTGGAATAATAGCCTATCCATGTGTAATATGATGGGCAAAAGGAAAGGCACATGGTCTCTGATTATACAGGCAATTTTGTAGATAGAGAACAAAAAGTTACACAATAAACATCTCTAGACTTGAGCAGGTCATCACATCTTTTCAGTGGAAATTAGTTTGTGCATACTGTCCAACTGCCCTGTTTGATAAGGATGAATGGGATTAATCCTCTGCTATCCCATTTTCATAGCTGCATTAAAATGTCCTGGCCTCTCTCTTCTCCTCCCACTTTCCCTCTTCAATTCACTCAATGGGAGGAAAAAGGAAGTAGGGTCATTTGGGTCCTCCACCACAGACCATCTATAAAATTCAGTATGTTAGCTTTTCTAAACCTAGATTTCTCTGCTTAAAACATTAATTTGGGATGTTCTTTCCTTTTGAATAAATGTTGCTCTCTTGTTACATAACCAAACCCTTAGGCCACACTCTGATGTTCCTCAACCACACATATTTTAGTCCACTTCCTTCCTCTGGAAACTACATCAAAGGGGTGATCTGTTTACCAGAATTATATACATAGCAGCAGTTGAAAAAAATCCAGATTTGAGCCCACCCAAAGAAAGGCAAAAGAAAGAGTTTCAAAATATAATAAAGCAATTTCTTACTTTTTAATCTTAATTTCCAATTTCTGCTAAAACACACCAGTAGTACTAAAATATGACATTTAAAACCAACACACTACCGTTTGGTGATACTGTTGTGGCTACTGAGAAAATGAGTGATTAAAAGGCAAAGGTCGGTTCAGGGAACATGGTTTAACATAGGAAATCCATAGGACATCTCAGTTTGTGGGCCATTTCATATATTTTTTTTATCATGTCAGGAGCGACTTGAGAAACTGCAAATCGCTTCAGGTGTGAGAGAATTGGCTGTCTGCAAGGACGTTAACCAGGGGAAGCCCAGATGTTTTGATGTTTTACCATCCTTGTGGGAGGCTTCTCTCATGTCTCCGCATGAGGAGCTGGAGCTGATAGAGGGAGCTCATCCGTGCTCTGCCCGAATTCGAACCAGCAACTTGTCGGTCTTCAGTCCTGCCGTCACAGAGGTTTAATAATAATAATAATAATAATAATAAATATTAATTATTAATTATTATTATAATATTTATTATATAATAATAATAATCATCATCATCATCATCATCATCATCATCATAATCATAATCATAATAATCCCACTGTGCTACTGGGGGCTCTGGCCATTCCATTGAAATAACTATTTTCAGTAGTGCTGCTGGCTAGAAAACATGCAGGTCGTGATCAACTGACACCAGGAAAATCTGACTGAAGACTTAAATCCTTCTTATGCATACTTTCCAGAACAGGTATATGCAACGTGTGGCCTGCCTGATGCTTTTGTACTGCAACTCCCTAGTCAGAATGCTTAGTGGTGAATAATGCTAGGAGCTTCAATTGAATCACACCAGAAGGGCCAAGAGGTGCCCACCTCTATTCCAGGGATAAGTTATGTTGACCTCATAGGGGACTCAGTTGGGGCACTGCAGTCTTTGGTCTAAAAAGCAGTCAAAGTGGTGGTCCCTGGTACCGACCAGTATCTGAGCCATCAAGCTGTGACTCCAAGGAGAAATAAACTATTAGAGTCAATAAACAAAAAAATGGTACCATTCCATGGACCACAGGGAATGGGTGGACAGATGGGATGGATGTTGAGTTACATGGAAGACTTTGAAGAGTCATTTACGAGAGATATTTTTAAAGAAAGGTCCGTTTTGTTGTAGACACTAGTAGTTCGCGCACATACCGCAACGAGCGCGTGTGTCGTGTACCGGCATGCCTCGGGAACAACTGTGCTCAGTTTCCGCTCTGTAGCTAACCTGTACGGTTCTGTTCTGTGCTTTAAAAATGTTTAAGACCATCAACTCACCCTCCGCATGTGAGGTTCACTCAGTGATACGATATTTGTCAGCAAGGAACCTGCCTGCTGCAAAAATTCATCGAAAGAATTGTGAAGTGTACGGTGATACTGTTATGAGTGAAAGCAAAGTGCATAAGTGGTTATGACAATTCAAAGATGGCCGTAACAACATCCATGATGAGGACCGCTCCGGTCGCCCTTCTTTGATTACAGACGATTTGGTGGCTTCAGTTGAAGCGAGGATTCGTGAGAACAGGCGCTTCACAATAACAGGTCTCTCAAACAAATTTCCTGACGTGTCAAGATCAGTGCTTTACCACATTGTTTCTGAACACCTAAAGTTTAGGAAACTGTGCTCCCGTTGGGTCCTGAAACTCCTAACAGAGGAGCACAAAAACCAAAGGTTTGAGTGTGCGATCAAATCAAATCGTCTGTAATCAAAGAAGGGCGACCGGAGCGGTCCTCATCATGGACGTTGTCCATGACCATCTTTGAATTGTCGTACCCACTTATGCACTTTACTTTCACTCATAACAGTATCACCGTACACTTCACAAATCTGTCGATGAATTTCTGCAGCAGGCAGGTTCCTTGCTGACAAAATCACTGAGTGAACCTCGCATGCGGCGGGTGAGTTGATAGTCTTCAACATTTTTAAAGCACAGAACAGAACCGTACAGGTTAGCTACAGAGTGGAAACTGAGCACAGTTGTTCCCAAGGCATGCACGTGCTCATTGCAGTATGGCCGTGAACTACTAGTGTCTACAACAAAACGGACCTTACTTTAAAAATACCCATTGTAAAAAAAACTATACAACCAGAGTTCCCACTGGCCATACAAGCTGGCAGTTCTGATAGTAGCAGTCCAAAAAGTAACTTTTTCAAGATATAGCTCCAGGTATCCTTCATGGTAGGAGAAATCCAAAATAGTTAAAAAGGAGCCTTGACCACATAACCCAAAAATATACAAAAAGTGTAAGAGGGATCTGAGCTAGAGTGCAAAAGAGAAAGGGAGGTGAAATGTGTGCAATCTCAATCTGCACAGATCCAATTCCCCCAGCATCTCCAAGGAACTTCCTCAGCCAGACTTGTAGTACAGCAAGTGACTATATTTAAGCAAGAAACAGCAATGTATAGGAATGGAAGAGGAATTGTTGGCAGGGCCAGAGAGTCATCTCCTTCACCCAAATCAGACCACTGTCCATCACATGGAGAGCACACTGAGGTGCCCTTGACATTAATACCTGTATTTTGAGGTTCACTTGCAAGAAGAAAATGTTGAGGGGGAAAAGGAAGAGAAAATGTAGATTTCATCAAAGAAGAAGATGCTGTAGTCCCTGTGGGGCAAAGCAGCAGAGACACTATGCAAAAGAAAGGAGCATACTCTCAAGCAGGGATGTTCTAGAAGAAATAACCATTCTGAATTGGAAACTAAGCAGAAGGTGAAAGGCACAGAGGCTAGAAGAACAGAGCTGCATCACAACACATTGCACCCACCAGAGTCACTCTTAGAGGGCCTGATGGGGAGGTCATCCTTTACATCTGCAAGGCAAAAGAGCTTCTCCTGGTTTAGCTGATTTTTACAAAGGCACCAGAGGAAATACAGCTTTGCAAGTCAAGATCTGAAGAAAGCTGAGCTAGGTCTCATCCCCATTCTCAGTCCTGTTCACCCACACCGGTCCTGAGAGTGGTCGCTGCAGTGAATTGGACGACTTCCCTTGATGGCCCAGCATCTGGCTTACAGCACGAAGAAGCTGGTCGTGGTCCCTCTCCATTCCAGACAGACGGTGTTCCTGAAAGGTAAGACAGTTGAGATTCGGCTGCTTAAACCCCTGCATCTTTCATTGTTTTATATATATATAATTTTATTAAGTTGTCATAAAAAGAATACATAAAAATACTACGGGGGAGTAATGGGGTGGTGTTGGGGAGGGCAGGAGGGGGGGATTTAAGGGAGAAAATATCCCCTGCATTTTTCATTGTTAAACATGAATATGCAAATAATAATAATAATAATAATAATAATAATAATAATAATAATAATAATACTTTATTTATACCCCGCTCCATCTCCCCCAGGGGGACTCGGGGCAGCTTGCATGAGGCCACGCCCATCAATACAGTAAACACAATATTACACAAAAGCATAACACAATATAACACAAAGCATAACAGAACTAAAAAATAAAAACATAAAATGAAAAAACCAAAATAATAAGCGAGACAGCAGTATAAAATCGGACATTAAACACACAGGATTACATGGGGCAGGGCCAAATTTAAGGATAAAAAAATAAACATTTTAAAACACTGGGAGATTGGGCAATGGAAATTATTGGGGAGGGAGATCCGGATTGAGGAAGGAATTAATTGCACGAACCATTAAACAAAGTGCTTCTGGGTTCATTTGTGCGAAATTTGGTCAGGGAGTATCCTACATTCAATCATTGAAGGCACATTGGAATAACCAGGTTTTCAGATTCCTCCTGAAGATTGCCAGCGTGGGGGCTTGCCTAATATCTCTGGGGATTGAATTCCAGAGCCGGGGGGCCACCACAGAGAAGGCCCTTTCTCTCGTACCCACAAGTTGCACTTGCGATGCAGGCTGAAGTGAGAGAAGAGCCTCTCCGGAAGATTGAAGAGGTTGTGTGGGTTCGTAGACGGAAATGCGGTCACGCAGGTAGGTGGGTTCCAAATCGTTCAGGGCTTTGTAGGTCAAAACCTGCACCTTGAATTGGGCCCGGAAGAAAATTGGCAGGCAGTGGAGCTCCTTAAATAGGATACTGATGGGTGACAGGGTACCAGGTGAATGTTCAGGCAAGCAACTGTCTAGCCTGTACCCATTACTCTGGCCCGGCCCAGTTTTATTATGTTTTAGTGTATTGTTTATTGCTTGTTGTTTATATTGCTTTAATTGTTTTTAATTTGCCTTAGGTTTTATATTGTTATATTGTGTGTTGAGGCCTTGGCCTTTGTAAGCCGCATTGAGTCCTTCGGGAGATGCTAGCGGGGTACAAATAAAGTTTAATAATAATAATAATAATAATAATAATAATAATAATAATAATAGCCATCACAAAACACCCAGATGTGGCTTAGTATATTAGGTTTGGGGCATTTTGTAAACAGAGGGCCATATTCCTAGTAGGTTCAACATCCCATACTTCATTACAATGAAACACTGAGTGTGGATTTGTGGGAGAGAGTTAACTTATTCAGAGATTTGATCAAAATGTTCTCCCCAGGAATCTCTAGGTCCTCCAGTATGACTCTATGGGCAAGTTCCTCTGGTCATTCTAGAGGACCTAGAGGATCCTAGAGAGAACACTTCCCTAGGAATCTCTAGATCCATCAGTGTGATTCGATGTTCAGCTTTCTTCATGCTGGAGGACATAGCAATTCCTAGAGATAACCCAGCTATGTCATTATTCACATATCTTAAAGGCTTTGTGCCCCTAACGCCAGCAAATGTCGAGGGCTGACTAGGTGTATCTTTGATAAGACGTGCATTTGCCAGAATGTAAAATAAAATGTGAGTGAGTTCTCTTTGGAGTGAGTCCTTTATTCAATATTCTCCTTCTCCTTTTCTATCTCCTTCTTATTCCTATTATTATCCCTATTATTATTCCTATTATTATCCCTATTATTGTTCCTATTATTATTATTATTATTATTATTATTATTTGAAGCACAACAAGATGAGTCCACAGCAGACACTCTGCTGGCTGTTGTATTGGATCACACATTGGACACTTCCCAAGTGTCTAGGATTGTGTGATGTATCGGCGAATAATGCATGCAGATCCCAGTAGGGTGGCAGTAGGGTGGCAGATGGTAATTTTGTCAGTGCCAATTGTGTTTAAGTGCAGGACAAAGTCTTTAGGCACTGCACCCAGTGTGCCGATCACCACTGGGACCATCTTTACTGGCTTGTGCTAGAGTCTTTGCAGTTCGATCTTTAAATCCTCATATCATGTCATCTTTTCCAGTTGTTTCTCCTCAATCCTGCTGTTGCCTGGGATTGCAACATTGACGATCCACACTCTGTTTTTTAACATAACCGTGAGGTCAGGGGTATTGTGCTCCAAAACTTTGTCAGTCTGAATTTGAAAGTCCCAGAGGAGTGACGTAAAATCATAGAATCAAAGAGTTGGAAGAGACCTCATGGGCCATCCAGTCCAACCCCCTGCCAAGAAGCAGGAATATTGCATTCAAATCCCCCCTGACAGATGGCCATCCAGCCTCTGTTTAAAAGCTTCCAAAGAAGGAGCCTCCACCACACTCGGGGGCAGAGAGTTCCACTGCTGAACGGCTCTCACAGTCAGGAAATTCTTCCTCATGTTCAGATGGAATCTCCTTTCTTGTAGTATGAAGCCATTGTTCCTTGTCCTAATCTCCATGGAAGCAGTAAACAAGCTTGCTCCCTCCTCCCTGTGGCTTCCACTCACATATTTATACATGGCTATCATATCTCCTCTCATCCTTCTCTTCTTCAGGCTAAACATGCCGAGTTCCTTAAGCCGCTCCTCATAGGGCTTGTTCTCCAGACCCGTGTTCATTTTCTGTAACTTTTTCAGGCTTGTGATCCCACCAGTTCTTTGTCGCAGGCAGATGGTACTTGTGGCACAGCTTCCAATGAATCTTCTGAGCAACGGTGTTATGCCTCTGCTTGTAGTCTGTCTGCGCAATCTTCTTGCAGCAGCTGAGGATGTGATCTATTGTTTCATATGCTTCCTTACAGAGTCTACACTTGGGATCTGTTGTTGACTTTTCAATTCTGGCTTTGATGGCATTGGTTCTAATGGCTTGTTCTTGGGCTGCCAGAACCACCATCATCATCATCATCATGCCTATATTCATGAATAGTACTGAATAAGCTCTAATATTCTATATATCCTTTAAACTACCCCTGTGCCTTTAATGATTATATCCCAAAAATTGTGCTACATTTCTGTCCACTACCACCTCAGGACCAATGGCTTGAATATTATTGTTATTGTTTTGCTTTGCTTATGAGTTATTTATTGTTGTATTGTTGTTGTTGTGTTTTATTGATTTATTTGGGCTTGGCCTCTTGTAAGCCGCACTGAGTCCTACGGGAGATGGTAGCGGGGTATAAATAAAGGTTTATTATTATTATTATTATTATTATTATTATTATTATTATTATTATTGAATCAAAGCCTTCAATAGTTATGGTGAGCCCTTACCAGTTGTTTGGTCTTCTCCTCACTGGCTAGAAGCTTCCCATAATCTTTCTTCAAGCTGGCCTCTAGACTCGATACTCTGAAAAAGAAGAGGAGCCAGCATGGTTCATGAATTCTGCTTGCAATCTCCCTTTTCCCTGCTTAGCTAGCCTTGGAGCAGCCTTGGTTCTCTAACCAACCTTGAGCATAACATATTTTTCAGCCTTCAGATATCACCTGCAAACCTCAGAAATATGATACAAGATGAAATGGATATGAAGTTCCCTTTTTTAAAATAAAGGGCCCTGACTGTTCTGCCCCTCTTCCATATTATTGTGATGTGGATCTGCTGTTTGCAAGGGTGAGAAGCAGCTTGCCACAGGTTTCAAAATAAGTTTTAGATTTGCTAGCAAGGAATATACAAATTTATTAGTTCCTAATTGTCTTGCTCTCCCTGTCTTAAATTTGTTGCATTCCAAGCCTACAGCAGTTGGTAACATGCAAAAATATATCTAATGATTAATTTTAAAATTAATTATTTTAACTCACTGTGGTGGCGCAGTGGGTTAAACCCCTGTGCCGGCAGGTCGCAGGTTCGAATCCGGGGAGAGCTGGATGAGCTCCCTCTGTCAGCTCCAGCTCCCCAAGCGGGGACATGAGAGAAGCCTCCCACAAGGATGATTAAACACATCAAATCATCCGGGAGTCCCCTGGGCAACGTCCTTGCAGTCGGCCAATTCTCTCACACCAGAAGCGACTTGCAGTTTCTCAAGTCGCTCCTGACACAACAAACCTTTTTTAAAAAATTCATGACCATACTTTTCCTAAAAGATGCATTTTCGCAGACACTTTGTACTCATTTTTGCAAGTTGCTTTCCTTTATATAATGTTTTGTATTCTTCTCAGAACATATGCAACTGAAAAAGGCAATTCCTGACTACTAAGGTCATTTTATTTATTTATATACCATATTTATATACCGCCTTTCTCAGCCCGAAGACAACTCAAGGCAGTTTACACAGCGGAACAATTTGATGCCCCCAACATAAATCACAATTAAAAACAATTAAAGCCAACGAAACAATAAAAAACCAATAAAAGCATAGATCCTCAGCGTCTCATTGCTAAAATCATTATCCAATCACATTGTCCGACTGTTCAGTAGATCCAACCCACATATCAATGGGAGCAGTATCCATGGTTTCAAATACCCAGATCCACCAAAAACATCCTTTCTGGGAATTTTTAGGTCCTCCATGGTAACTCTATGGTAACCTCCAGTGGAAAAAAGTTTAAAAGTTTCACAAAAAAGTTAAAAAGTGGCTTTTTAGCAAGCATTTACAGATGCAGTGTAACAGACAAAGTTAGATCTACAGAACAGTCGGACAATGCGATTGGATAGTGATTTTAGTAATGAGACGCTGAGGATCTAACTTTTTTGTGAAATGTTAGGAGAGAGGGGGCCAATATAATATCCCTAGGAAGGGTGTTCCACAGTTGGGGGGCCACCACTGAGAAGGCCCTGAATCTGTGACAAAGGCGGGAGTGAGTGCAAGGCCTTCCCAGATGATCTTAGAGTCTGAGATGGTTCATAAGGAGAGATACGTTTGGACAGGTAAGCTGGGCCAGAACTGTTTAGGGCTTTATAGGCTAAAGCCAGCACTTTGAATTGTGCCCGATAACAAACTGGCAGCCAACAGAAGAATTGTACACTCCCTGAGTGCCGCACCTGTTAGCAACCTGGCTGCCGCCTGTTGGGCCATTTGAAGCTTCAAAGGTAACCCCACGTAGAGTGCGTTGCAGTAGTCTATATGGGATGTAACCAGAGCATGGACTACCATGGCCAAGTCAGACTTCCCAAGCTGGTGCACAAGTTTTAACTGTGCGAATGATCCCCTGGTCACCGCCAGATCTGGGGTTCCAGGCTCAGCGATGAATCCAGGATCACACCCAAGCTGCAAACCTGTGTCTTCAGGGGGAGTGTAACTCCATCCAACACAGCTGTAACCCTGGGGGGACTGCTTTGAGTCCTCCCAGGGGTGACAAAGGCAGTACAAAAATACTGTAAATAAATAAATACTGTAAATATGCCCTGTTCGGCCTTACGACTGACCAGGAGTACCTCTGTCTTGTCTGGATTCAATTTCAAATTGTTCGCCCTCTTCCAGACCGTCACATATTAAAACTTTGTGGAAAGTGAACAAATGTATCTCTGTACAAACCAAAAAAGAAGGACCCAAAACCCCCAACATGACCAGCGGGGTCCTCTTAGAACTATAGTCCAGCAAAGTAAAATAAAAACCAAAGCTGTGATTAAGACGGGGTACGGTGTCATCTGTACGCGGATGATGTCCAACTCTGTCACTCCTTCCCACCTGCTACTAAGGAGGCTGTCCAGGTCCTGAACCGGTGCTTGGCCGCTGTGACGGTCTGGATGAGGGCGAACAAATTGAAATTGAATCCAGACAAGACAGAGGTACTCCTGGTCAGTCGTAAGGCCGAACAGGGTATAGGGTTACAGCCTGTGTTGGATGGGGTCACACTCCCCTTGAAGACACAGGTTCGCAGCTTGGGTGTGACCCTGGACTCATCGCTGAGCCTGGAACCCCAGGTTTCGGCGGTGACCAGGGGAGCATTTGCACAGCTAAAGCTTGTGCGCCAGCTGCGCCTGTACCTTGGGAAGTCTGACTTGGCCACGGTAGTCCACGCTCTGGTTACATCCCGTTTAGACTACTGCAACGCTCTCTACGTGGGGTTGCCCTTGAAGACTGCTCGGAAGCTTCAAATGGTCCAACGCTCGGCAGCCAGGTTGCTAACAGGAGCGGCACTCAGGGAGCACACCACTCCTCTGTTGCGCCAGCTCCACTGGCTGCCAATCTGCTACCGGGCACAATTCAAGGTGCTGGCTTTAGCCTATAAAGCCCTAAACGGTTCTGGCCCTACTTACCTCTCCGAACGCATCTCCACCTATGAACCGACTAGGACATTAAGATCGTCTGGGGAGGCCCTGCTCTCGGTCCCGCCTGCATCACAGGCGCGTTTGGCGGGGACGAGGGACAGGGCCTTCTCGGTGGTGGCCCCTCGGCTGTGGAATGCCCTACCTGTAGACATCAGACAGGCCCCTTCACTGCTGGCGTTCCGGAGGAAGGTCAAGACTTGGCTTTATGAACAAGCGTTTGGCTAAATAGTGCAATGGAATACAGGAAGATGGTACAATCGAACATAGGAATGGTATAAAGGATTATGATTACGGATTATGATTCTGATTTGTTGCTGAGGCGCTACGATTATGATAATGATTGTTTTTTGATCTGTATGTCTTGTATAATGTGTTTTAACTGCCTTTTGATATTGTTGTGATAACTTGTATTATGTAAACCGCTTTGAGTCACCATCTCGGCTGAGAAAAGCGTATAGAAGTAAAGCAAATAAATAAATAAATAAATAAATAAATAAATAAATAAATAAGACAGGAGTGGGTGACAGTTCAGTGCTCCAGCAGCATTGCCAATGGCAAAGAATGCTGTGCGTTACAGCCCAACAACTTCTTTGCTTCTTTTTTGCCCACTCCTGAACTCATGGCACCACGGGGCTTGAGGACTCTCACCTGCTGATAAGCTGAACAAGGCAGCTCTCCGTCTCCTCCAGCCTCTTATAGAGAATCTCTTCCTGTTCCTGAAACTTTGTTTTTTCTTCCAGAAGCACTTGATTCTGAGCAGTCAGATTTTCCAGCTGTTCCTGAAATAGCATCTGCTTCTCTTTGGCTGTGGTCACTTCAGCCTGCAGTTGTTCCAAATGTCTCCCATACTGTGGGATACACAAAGTAAACAATTAGACCAGCCAGGGGTTTGGAGCAGTGAGATTTCCTTACTGGGTCATCCTGAGCTGGGCAGAGAGGTGATGAGACAAGGGACTCTGTGTTGGATTCCCATCCCAGCTTAAGAAAGACGAGCAGAGGTCAAAGAGGAGGAGGAGAAAGGCTGGAAAATGGATGCTTTGAGGTCTATTCCAGAAAATACACATGCATATGTAAGAAGACTCTGATTCCTTGGGTATTAAATAATGTTACAAGCCCATATAGTTGCACACATTTCAATCAGCAATGTAGGATCGTTTCATACTAAACAATAAAAGTGCTATTCTTCCACATTGACTGTTGTGTCGGCTTCCTATGGATTTCTGGTACTTGAGCTAGTTGAGGCACTACAATTGGCCTAAATATACAGATTTATTGAAAAAGGAAGGAGGATTGACAATACTGAAAACAGAACAGGAGATGAAAATAATCAGTGATAGAATCTCGTGGTGCCAATCTCTATAAATAAAAATGTAATGTTCATTTGTGGGATTAACAGAACTCAAAAACCACTGGACGAATTGACACCAAATTTGGAAACAAGACACCTAACAACCCAATGTATATCCTTCACTCAAAAAAATAATGGGAGTTGTAGTTGCTGGGATTTCTAGTTCACCTACAATCAAAGAGCATTCTGAACCCCACCAATGATGGAATTGAACCAAACTTGGCACACAGTTCTCCCATGACCAATAGAAAATACTGGAAGGGTTTGGTGGGCAGTGTCCTTTGGTTTTGGAGTTGTAGTTCACTTACATCCAGAGATCACTGTGGACTCAAACAAGGATGGATTTGGACCAAACTCTACACGAATATTCAATATGCCCAAATGTGAACACTGGTGGAGTTTGGGGAAATAGACATTGACATTTGGAAGTTGTAGTTGATGGGATTTATAGTTCACCTACAATCAAAGAGCATTCTAAACCCCACCAATGTTAGAATTGGGCCAAACTTCCCACATAGAACCCCCATGACCAACAAAAATTACTGTGTTTTCTGATGGTCTTTGGCAACCCCTCTAATACCCCCTTATGACCTTTGCAGGGGTCCCAACTCCCAGGTTGAGAAATGGTGCCTTAAGGCCATCCAGTCCAACTCCCTTCACCAGGGCAAAAAAACATAACCAAAAGAGCCATCCAGCCATAGATATAGATAGATAGATATGATTCACACACACACACACACACATATATACGTATATGACAAATATAGTATCATAGATTTGAAAGGGATCCCTAAAGATGCATTGGGTTGTTATTGTTGTGTCAATATTGTGTATTATGCTTTTATGGTTTTAAATTGTATATTGTTGACTGTTGTACCTTTGTTGTAAACCGCGTTGAGTCGCCTGTTAGGCTGAGAAACTGCGGTATACAAGTAAAGGAAATAAATAAATAAATAAATAAATAAAGAAGGACAATTAAATATTGCATGTTCCAGAGTAGGCAAACCAGACAATCTCCACATCAGCACTGACAAAGGAACAAGAAGAAATACTGTTGATCCACAAGCATCAAGAAGAAATACTGTTGACCCACAAGCATTAGAAACCAACACTTTCTCATTACTTTATTTTCCAGATCACCAGACTGGGCCACAGCAATGCGTGGCAGGGGACTGCTAGTCTCTATAAATAAAAATGTAATGTTCGTTTGTGGGATGAACATAACTCAAAAACCACTGAACGAATTGACACCAAATTTGGACACAATACACCTATCAGGCCAACAAGTGTCCATCACTCATAAAAACATTGAAAAACACAGCAGATAAGACTTTAAAGGCCAAAAAGCAAAACAAAAAAACTATTACAACGCATACCCAAAACCACATATATGTTGTGAGCTGACATTAAGCCGGGATTTCTGCACCATCCTGCAGCAGTAGTGAGGTGCGATGATGGAAGAGAGGAGCGAATCCCGGCTTAATGTCAGCTCACAACAGCTAGGCTCAATGATGACACGAGACTTCCATCGTAGTCAAACAAAGATCTTTACTGTCAGATACTAAGACACAGAAAAGCCGGGATTGTCTGGTTGCAGCAGACACTCCCTTATATACACTCCCACCAATTCAAAACGTGAGCTCCCGCCAAACCCAATACCCCGCGCAAAGCTTCCCGCCACCAAGCAACTGCTTTCTTCCAAGGTCACCAGCTGCAGATTCCTTATCAGGTCGAACGTCAGGATTCTAGTTTTCGGCGCCAAAATCTGGGCTCCGGAAACTGGATCCTGACACACAAACACACATACACAAATATATATACACACATATGCATACACACACACACACATATACACAGAGAGGGGGAAGGAAGGAAGAAAGGAAGGAGAGAAGGAAGGATTGAAAGAGGGAAAGGAAAGGAGGGAAGGAAAGAAGGAAAGAAAGGTAGTGAAGGAAGGAAGGAAGGAAGGAAGGAAGGAAGGAAGGAAGGAAGGAAGAAGAGAAAGAAATAAAAAAGTGAAAGAAGGAAGGAACGAGAGAGGGAAGGAAGGAGAGAAGAAACAAAAGAGAGAAATAGGGAGGGAGGGAGGGAGGGAGGGAGGGAGGGAGGGAGGGAGGGAAGGAGGGAAGGAAGGAAGGAGAGAAGGATGGATGGAACCAAAGAGCAAAGGAAGGGAGGAAAGAAACAGATAGAGAAGGAAGAAAGAAAAAAGGAAAGAAGAAGGAAAAGAAAAGAGGGAAGGTTTGGCCACAGTCACTCATAAAAACAGTTGAAACATTCACACCTAGCTCCAGCAGACAAGAGTCCTTTGTCCCACCCTGGTCTTTCCACAGATATATAAACCCATTTTCCTAGTTCCAACAGACCTCACTACCTCTGAGGATGCTTGCCATAGATGCAGGCAAAACGTCAGGAGAGAATGCCTCTAGAACATGGCCATATAGCCCAAAAAACCTACAACAACCCAGTGATTCCAGCCATGAAAGCCTTCGACAACGAGAAAGGTTGCTTTGAGTCACATCTATTTTGCCTATTCTCCCTCCAAATAACCCCCTCCCCTGTAGTCAGTTCCTTCCTTTGCATTGAATGGAGACCTGTGATTTCTTTGTAAAGGCTGTATCATGTTGGAATGGGGAGAGCTGGTCAAAGCAGTCTTGCTTCTAAGACCAACTCTTTAACTTGTTTCCCTGGCAAGACATTCTCTTCTTCTGGTCCCTCAGCCACCAGGGTCAGGAAGAGGCTATCAAAGGTTTCCCCAAGGATTCTTGAGACTTCAGATCAGTGCCCCAGTGCTTACATAACAGCTTCAGATATCATGCCAAGGGCCAGGGGCTTAAGAAATCCTCCTCCTCTTCCTGCAAAATGCTGCCTCCTGATATTACAGAACATCATTTCCTCAATAGGTTCAAAACTCCTCACTGATGTCAATGACTGATTGGAGGATCTGTCCTCCAACCCAACTACTGAAGGTGTGCACCCTTGATCGATTAGTGGCTGTACCCACTGGAAAAAGGATACAATGGCATCATGATATTAGACCTTGTGAACCTTGTACATCAAAGAAATACCAAGAATCAAAGGAGAAGTGAGGGGAATGTGAGTCAGTTCATACGATAAGAGTCTGGATCTAAGAACAACATGTAAGATCTGGTGGGCTGTGTCCCACTGGATTGGTGCACTGAGCACTCAGTTACCTCTTCCAGTGGATGCAGGGCATACAGGCCATTCTGAGTTGCAGCTGCCTCCTCCGAGTGCCGTAGCCAGGGCACGGTAGGTTTCCTAGGAAGTGATGCAGATGGACGGAGCTTTGAATAACCCTGGAATACAAGCAACATTATGGAAAAGGGGATCAGATCAGAGATGATAAGACCAAGAGAGACCCATGACTGGCTCATCTCCCTTCCCAATAATTTCCATTGCCCAATTTCCCAGTGTTTTTTAAAAATTATCCTTAAATTTGGCCCTGCCCCGTGTAATCCTGTGTGTTTAATGTCCAATTTTATACTGCTGTGTCGCTTATTATATTGGTTTTGCATTTTATGTTTTTTTATTTTCTAGTTCTGTTATTCTTTGGTGTTATATTGTGTTATGGTTTTGTGGTATATTGTGTTTACTGTACTGATGGGTGTGGCCTCACGTAAGCCGCCCCATCTCCCCCTGGGGGAGATGGAGCGGGATATAAATAAAGATTATTATTATTATTATTATTATTATTATTATTATTATTATTATTATTATTATTATTATAGGCTTGTCAACCTGATGTGGGAAAATGGAAGGGAAATTTGAATGTCTTCCTTGTCAACTTGAATACAGATACAGGTGGGACAGCAGAGCCAGTACGGAGAGATCACACCAGATATGAAGACTTGGGAATACTGCTATCTAAGGCTTTCCAGAAGTCCCAGAACACAGTGTCAAAATCCATGCATTATATGCAGACGGTCCCGAGTTCAAACCCCAACATCTCATAGTGGGGGTGGACACTGCACAACATAAAGGGTAGGGTAGCAACCAATAGTGAAAGGACATCAGTGACAACTCCTGCCCAATTACACTGTCTAGCCGGTATTGCACCACCAGGGAGTAGCAACCAGTAGTGAAAGGACCAAGGCAGTGACATCTCCAGCTCATCCCCTGTTTGGATATGAGCCAGCACGTTAACGACTTAAATCAAGAAATAGTTTTCTAAGATCTACAGACACACTTGCTGGAACCCTTCAGCAAGCGAGAGTCCAAAAGTGGCAGGCTCAAACCCAGAACCTCAATCAATGGCTGATACCAAATGAGAGACTCCCTCCGGGCACACCAAAAACCGGGTGACTTGGAAGGCGCTGAACAGACTGTGCTCTGGCACCACGAAATGCAGAACCAACCTTAAGAAATGGGGCCACAAAGTGAAATCCATGACATACGAGTGTGGAGAAGAGCAAACCACAGACCACCTCCTGCAATGCAACTTGAGCCCTGCCACATGCATAATGGAGGACCTTCTTGCAGCAATACCAGAGGCACTCCTAGTGGCCAGCAACTGGTCAAAGAACATTTAATCAACTATCAAGTTTGCAATCATTGTATTTTGTTTGTTTGTTTTTAATGCAATACAACTGTTTGGTTCGCTCCTGACACGATAAATAAATAAATAAATATCTTTACTTGCCAAATTTTGCATTTACAAATCCCAGCTTCTTACTAACGCTTACATTCTGCAGTCACAATAAAGAAATGTGCAGAAAGCAAGAAACTATCTAACTAAATATAGTTAAGTCAATTGAAATCTTTTTGCTCATGTGTTCTTCACTGGTATTTGACCAAGGGATTATAAAGGATCAGTAGGAGCTCTGTACAATAAAATCAAATCAAATTAGGGGATTGGGAACAGAGAAGGGCAGGGGGATCCCTGATTTGAAAAAATGCTAATTTTCTTTTCTTTAAGGTAATAATAATAATAATAATAATAATAACAACACTCCCCAAGGGACTCTGTGCGGCTTACATGAGTACCCAAAGTTTTCAGGTTCAGTGTGAAATTTCATCATAAGCAAGAGCAAGTGCAGAACTATTTTTCATTTTACACAAAATGCACAAAAATGTTTTTTCCCAACGTGAGAAAAACAATATGAAATAAAATTTGAAAAACAAAATCTGTTGCCGGTTGGAAAGCGCTATTTCAGATTAATTGTGGGTACCAACTTGGAAATTAGTTATTATACTCCAGAAACTTCTTTTTTGTGGTTGCCACAATTGCTTGAGAATGGAATACGCATTGAAAAACTAGAGCAAAATGTGCTTCCATGTTTTTCTGATTGAATCAATTAGGAAATGACATTTATAACCCAGGAACAGGGACGGCTCAACCCATTACGCAATGTAAGCATTTGCAGTATAGTTGATTTTGCCCAGGGGTGCTCTTGAGGCGCTCTTGAGGGAAAATAGACCTTGACATATGCGAGTTGTAGTTACTGGGATGTATAGTTCACCTAAAATCAAAGAGCATTCTGAACTCCACCAGTGATGGAATTGAACCAAATATGACACAGAACTCCCACGATGAATAGAAAATATATATCAATGATTGGTTGGGGGGGGGGGGGGGGGCGCCAAAATACTGTTTGCTTACCATTGAAAATTACCTAGGGCTGCCTCTGCCCAGGAACAAAAATCGTGTTTAATAGTGATATTATAAAAAATTGGCAAAACTCTTGCTCAGCAAAGAAAAAAAACATTTGAAATTGTTCATTCTAAGCTTCACTCTGATCCACAAAAGCTTCCAGGATCACTTATGTATGCTGCCTTGGTCCTTGCCCTGTAAAGCACTGGAGATAGGCTGAGCCCAAGGAGCTGCAAGACTAAAGTTTGAATGGTTGGAGGAGTCCATCTAGAGCAGCGGTCCTCAAACTAAGGACTGGGGGGCCGGATACGGCTCTCCAAGGTCATTTACCCGGCCCTCGCTCAGGGTCAACCTAAGTCTGAAACGACTTGAAAGCACACAAGAACAACAACAACAACAACAACAACAACAATCCGATCTCAGCAGCCAAAAGCAGGCCCACACTTCCCTTTGAAATACTAATAAGTTTGTATTTGTTAAAATTGTTCTTCATTTTAATTACTGTATTGCATTTAAGTGTTTTTTGCACTACCAATAAGATATGTGCAGTGTGCATAGGAACTCATTCATGTTTATTTCAAATTATAATCCAGCCCTCCGACAGTTTGAGGGACCTGGCCCTCTGTTTAAAAAATTTGTGGACCCCTGATCTAGAGCCCAGATTACCTGCATGGCCTTGCTTTGGTGTGAGCCAGAAATACTGGGCTCAGGGCTGCTGTCAGCCACATGCTCCATGCTGTTCTGCTTTTGGAGACGCCGACCACCCTTGGTCTGGGTTGGGACGCTTTGAGTGCGCTGCACTTTGCTCCGGGCTTTGGGTGGCTGCACAGGGGGCAGTGGCTCTTCCTTCCTTTGTCCCTTCTGTATGCTGGTCATGGACTGGCTCTTGATCAAAGGGCTGTGCTTGTCCAGCTCCCGCGGTGGCACAAATCCTGGCTTCTGGTTTTCTGCCTGTCTGGAATGGCTGGAAAGATGTGGGAAGCAGTCAGCACATAATCCTGATTCAGGATCAGGAAACAAGAAATGCTTGTGCTCCCTCTCCCATTTGGCAGCCCTCTAAAGTGCCTTGAACCCTTAGCCCTGCTGCTACCACAATGAAAAATGGCTACACTTCATCTTCAGAGATGGCTTCCTTTGTATTGTCGAAGGCTTTCATAGCCGGACTCACTGGGTTGTTGTAGGTTTTTTCAGGCTATATGGCGATGGTCTAGAGGCATTCTCTCCTGACGTTTCACCTGCATCTATGGCAAGCATCCTCAGAGGTAGTGAGGTCTGTTGGAACTAGGAAAATGGGTTTATATATCTGTGGAATGACCAGGGTGGGACAAAGAACTCTTGTCTGTTGGAGCTAGGTGTGAATGTTTCAACTGACCACCTTGATTAGCATTTGATGGCCTGGCAGTTGTTTGGTGTGGCTTGTTAGTGCCTGGGGCAATCTTTTGTTGAGAGGCGATTAGATGTCCCTCAGTATTTCCTCTCTGTTGTTTTGCTATTGTAATTTTAGAGTTTTTTAATACTGGTAGCCAGATTTGTTCATTTTCAGGGTTTCCTCCTTTCTGTTGAAATTGTCCACATGCTAGTGGATTTCAATGGTTTCTCTGTGTAGTCTGACATGGTGGTTGTTAGAGTGGTCCAGCATTTCTGTGTTCTCAAATAATATGCTGTGTCCAGGTTGGTTCATCATGGCCATATAGCCTGAAAAAACCCTACAACAACCCAGTGATTTTGGCCATGAAAGCCTTCAACAATACATGTTTACAGTTGCTTGAAAGTGAGGACTTTAAGATCATCTGGAGAGGTCCTGCTCTCGGTCCTGCCATCATCACAAATACGGTTGGCGGGAACGAGAGACAGGGCCTTCTCAGTGGTGGCCCCTCGGCTATGGAACGCCCTTTCAGGGTTTCCTCCTTTCTGTTGAAATTGTCCACATGCTTGTGGATTTTAATGCCTTCTCTGTGTAGTCTGACATGGTGGATGTTAGAGTGGTCCAGCATTTCTGTGTTCTCAAATAATATGCTGTGTCCAGGTTGGTTCATCAGGTGCTCTGCTATGGCTGACTTCTCTGGTTGAAGTAGTCTGCATGGCATCCATTTTCCTACTTCCAACAGACCTCACTACCTCTGAGGATGCTTGCCATAGATGCAGGCAAAACGTCACGAGAGAATGCCTCTAGAACATGGCCATATAGCCCGAAAAAACCTACAACAACCCATGGCTTCCTTTCTTTGCCTTACCTGCCTCAATAGTTCACAAGCTGATCTGCACTCCTAGAGCCTTCCTGGCAGGACTAATGTTATTTATTGATTCACTTCATTTGTATGCCACCTTTCTCTCAGAGTGCAACCCAGAGTGATTTGCAAATTTATTTACACACAATTAAAATCATCACATTAAATCTATATAAAAATATTAGCAGGTATACAAAAAGTAAATGTAAATCATATGTCCTATAAGAAGCATCCCTGTGAGCAATTACACATGTTAAGTCTGTTTAAACAGGTGAAAGGAGAGAAGGGAGGAGATCAGCCTAACCTCACATGGAAAGGAATTTTAAAATCTAGGGCATCAAAATGAGTGCACTCCTCTGGAAAAGACCAGAAACATTTCAAATCAGTGCCCCCAAGTCCTGTCTGCAAATAAGGCATGCAAGCAATTTGTGCCCCATTTTAAAGGAAAAATTGTGCTCTTAAAAGTCAGTAGCACTTTTGAGCTGAGATTTTTCAAGGAGGAGGGTGACTTGTAGTGTGTGTGAAGGATTGAAACCCTGGGCATGGGAGGGTTACCCTTACTTACTTAGGCGATCCCTCGTAGTCCTCCAAGGTCGGTGTTCTGGCGGTAGGTCTGTAGGTGACTGTGGAGCCCTATTCTTGATCTACACCTTTTCCTGCAGTGAGGGCATTGGTTTCCAGGTGGAAGGTGGTCCCGGTCGGGGTTGGCTTGATGCGTCTTCCTCTTGGCACGTTTCTCTCTTTCGCCCTCCATTCGTGCCTCTTCAAATTCTACAGCACTGATGGTCACAGCTGACCTCCAGCTAGAGCGCTCAAGGGCCAGGGCTTCCCAGTTCTCAGTGTCTATGCCACAGTTTTTAAGGTTGGCTTTGAGCCCAACTTTAAATCTCTTTTCTTGTCCACCAACATTCCGTTTTCCGTTCTTGAGTTCGGAGTAGAGCAACTGCTTTGGGAGACGGTGGTCGGGCATCCGGACAGAAAACAAGCTTGCTCCCTCCTCCCTGTGGCTTCCTTTCACATTTTTATACATGGCCATCATATCTCCTCTCAGCCTTCTCTTCTTCAGGCTAAACATGCCCAGCTCCTTCAGCCGCTCCTCATAGGGCTTGTTCTCCAGACCCTTTATCATTTTAGTCGCCCTCCTCTGGACACATTCCAGCTTGTCAATATCTCTCTTGAATTGTGGTGGCCAGAATTGGACACAATATTCCAGGTGTGGTCTAACCAAAGCGGAATAGAGGGGTAGCATTATTTCCCTAGATCTAGACACTATTCTCCTATTGATGCAGGCCAAAATCCCATTGGCTTTTTTTGCTGCCACATCACATTGTTAGCTCATGTTTAACTTGTTATCCACGAGGACTCCAAGATCTTTTTCACACGTAATGCTCTCGAGCCAGGCATTGTTCCCCATTCTGTATCTTTGTATTTCGTTTTTCCTGCCAAAGTGGAGTATCTTGCATTTGTCACTGTTGAACTTCATTTTGTTAGTTTTGGCCCATCTCTCTAATCTGTCAAGATGGTTTTGAATCCTGCTCCTGTCCTCTGGAGTATTGGCTATCCCTCCCAATTTGGTGTCGTCTGCAAACTTGATGATCCTGCCTTCTAGCCCTTCATCTAAATCATTAATAAAGATGTTGAACAGGACCGGGCCCAGGACGGAACCCTGCTTACGGCACTCCGCTCGTCACTTCTTTCCAGGATGAAGAGGAAGCATTGGTGAGCATCCAGTCCTTAACATTGTGCTTAGGGAAATAAGTTTTGGTATTTCAGTGTTTTGAAGTTTTGGTATTATGGAAGTTTTGGAACTATGCATTGGCAGGCTTCAGGAAATCAGGGTCTGGCCTAACAGGTGCTTCTCCAAGGAGGGAGAAAAGGATATGGTAATACTTGAATGCCTGAGGATGAATGCATGTGCATGTGGTGTGAATGTTGAGTAAAAATGTAATTCCCCTTTTGTTTGTTCGTTAACCAATGTAATTGTAAATCCAATGTAGCTGCATAGAATCTGTATGTATGTCCAATGTCATTCTTTGTCTAAATGTTTTTCTGTAATCTGATAGACCCTCTCACACTGGAAATTGCAATAAAAAGAACCTATGCTTCAAAGTTATTGAAAAGTCATTTATGACATGTCCCTCTCTCCACCCATTAGCAGAAGCAGTTCAGTCAATACCTTGCCACCGTGTTTGGTCCAAGTCGAACAGAGACAGGTACTGGTGTTCCCTCTTGTATGGCATGAAGGATGGTGGGCAGAGGCTCCAAACTCTCCTGTGTTCGCTTGCAAAAAGGACAACAGAAAAGGTTGCGGTCAGACAGCCTACTCACGCCACCCAGAAATTAGACTTGCAGAAATTGCAAATTGATCTCGTGGTTTGCCCAGAGACTGACAGTAAGAGTTCCTCTCACTATGGCCAATAGAGAGGAGCCAGTGTAGCACAATGGTTTGTGTGTCAGAGTCCTAGATTCAAATCTCTACTGAGATTTTGAGGCTGAGACAGCACACCTCGAAAAATGGCAACCTCTTTTCACTGAAGAAATAAACCCCTTGAAAAGGATCACAATAAGTCACAGTCACTTTTAAAACACATTGAAATAATATTTGGCTAGTGAGAGCAAAAGGTTGCATTCATAGCCCTGACTAGTCGAGTTTAGCAACTTCTACATTAGACGTAGATGGATTTCTAAGTACACATTCTTCAACTTATGTTAAAATTATTTCCTCCTTTTATACAACTCCACAAAGCAAGCCAATCCAGAGTTTGGAAAAGTTACAAAAGTAGAGCTTCTAGAATTCACCCTGCCAGCATCCCCACTGGTCATTTGGGAAGTTGCAATCCAACCCCTACACCAACCTATTATTATTATTATTATTATTATTATTATTATTATTATTTTCCCATCTTCCTCTCTTAAATGGGACTCAAAGCAGCTTACAACACTAAAAACAATACAATTTACAATTTTCCACATATAAACATTAAAATAGAATTAAATACAGAATTTGTTAAAAACAAATAATTAACAGAATAATAATAATAATGTATTGTCGAAGGCTTTCATGGCTGGAATCACTGGGTTGTGGTAGGTTTTTTCAGGTTATATGGCCATGTTCTAGAGGCATTCTCTCCTGACATTTCGCCTGCATCTATGGCAAGCATCCTCAGAGGTAGTGAGGTCTGTCGTCAGACTACAAAGAGAAGCCATTGAAATCCACAAGCATGTGGACAATTTCAACAGAAAGGAGGAAACCATGAAAATGAACAAAATCTGGCTACCAGTATTAAAACTCTAAAATTACAACAGCAAAACAACAGAGAGGAAACAATCTGGGACATCTAATCACCTCTCAACAAAAGATTGCCCCAGGTACTGCCAGGCCATCAAATGCTAATCAAGGTGGTCAGTTGAAACATTCACACCTAGCTCCAACAGACAAGAGTTCTTTGTCCCACCCTGGTCATTCCACAGATATATAAACCCATTTTCCTAGTTCCAACAGACCTCACTACCTCTGAGGATGCTTGCCATAGATGCAGGCGAAACATCAGGAGAGAATGCCTCTAGAACAGTGGTTCTCAACCTGGGGTCCCCAGATGTTTTTGGCCTACAACTCCCAGAAATCCTTACAGCTGGTAAGCCAGCTGTAAGGATTTCTAGGAGTTGAAGGCCAAAAACATCTAGGGACCCCAGGCTGAGAACCATTGCTCTAGAACATGGCCATATAGCTCAAAAAAACCTACAACAACCCAATAATAATAATAATAATAATAATAATAATAATAATAATAATAATCAACAACAACAACAACTTTATTTTTAAATCACCCTCTCTCCCTAAGGAGACTCATGGGGCTTACATAAAACCATTAAAACCCATTAAAATAATTAAATCACTACACAGCACCTTCTGGATCAGTTTTAAGACCTTTCTTCTTTAGATGACTGCTTAAAAAGAACAGTTTTAGCCTGCCACCAGAAGCACAGAAAGGAGGAGGCCTTTCTGTCTTACCTGGGCAGTGGTGTCAACTTTGAGGGGCATCCATCAAGAAGGCCCCATTTGGTGTTTCTACCAAATGCACTTGCAATGGTAATGGGACCCAGAGAAAAGCCTCACCTGAGGATCTCCAGGCCTAGGCAGATTCACACTGGGAGACGAGATCTGCCAAATAGCCTGGACATGGACTGTATAGTGCTTTATAGGTCTTAACCAGCACTTTGAATTAAATCTTTTTAAGCCACTGATGAGCTGTTAGTACAGGCAGACAGTTCCAGGGAACTGTGAAAGAACACTCTCCCCCATGACTTCAGAACCAGGCTTCTCTTTATTCTATTTTGTACCCCAACCGCAAGGGACTGGGATGGCCAAAAGGCTAAAATGCCAGTCTGAGCATAGAGCTACCCTGTGCCAAGCCCATTGTATGTAGGATGCCCCCACATTTAGAAAGAAGCAACTAGTAGTACCGGTTCTAGAGAGGAGAAGATGTTGCAGAGCAGTGAGTGCAGGATGGACAGCTCCAGGGCTAAGTCAATGGAGTCATCAAAGGCAACCATGTGGATAGCACTGCCAGGACTTGATACGCTGCTGAGGAAAGACTTCATGGAACCCCAGTTCTGCTCCAGAAACTCATTCATGAAACTCATATAGGCTTCCTTCTCCCCAAATCTGCAGGAAAGGGAATGACAAAATGGATGGCTAAGCGTTATTTATTTATTTATTTATTTACGTTATTTTTATCCCGCCCATTTCAGCCCAAAGGTGACTCAGGGCGGTATACAGACCGGCAACAATTAGAAGTCACACACACACACACATCAGTTAAAGCAATTAAATCACATCATAAATACATAAAAAACCATAAAAGCTATAAAAACTATAAAATCTGTTTAAAAAAGAATGTCTTCCAGTCCAGTTCCTCATCCGTTTACATCGTCTCAGCTGTTCTGTGTTCTTATTACAATTTTGTGTTTATCTGGTCATGCTGAAGCTCCAAACGCTTGGTTTTCACTCTTTTCCGAAAGGTCAGGTGGAGGCCGATCTAATATCCCTGGGGCAGGAGTTCCACAGCCAAGGGGCCACGACTGAGAAGGCCCTGTCTCTCGTTCCCGCCAGATTCCTCATCTTTGGTACTGATGACCAAAGAAGACCAATGATTACAGTTCCTGCAGATCTCTTAATTCTCCACATCTTTTCATCCTCTTGGCCTAGGAAGTCAAATGATGCAGAAGAGAACCCACCACAAGTCCTCCCTCATTCAGAAGAACTTGTGATGGAAGTGGTAACAGGTCACAGGCATACAGTACAAAGCATTCCTGCATGAATGTAATGCGGGTTTCACAGACCACACATTCCCTAAGGCATCAATGCATATCTCACATGGCTCATTCTGCAAACATTTTAAAAATACACAGGGATGTGAGGTAGCCAAGAGATTGAAGCACCATTTTGTTCGTGCCATGGTAGAAATTGTGGATATATTTGATACCCAGCACAATGATTATGATAATGATTATCGTTTTATATACTACTTTTTCATTCTTAAAGGAGACTCTAGGGGTGTACAGTGCTAAAAACAATACAATGAATAGTTTATGCCCAAGGATATAAACATTAAAATAGAATTTTTATAATAATTAATAACTATGAATTTACAACCACCGAAGAATAGAAGTCAAACCATTTATATATTTAATAATAATAATAATAATAATAATAATAATAATAATACACTTTATTTATAACCCGGTTGCCGGGAGACTAGGGCCGAATTTGAGACCACTTCAGCTAACTCGGGGAGGGAAACTGCAGAGTCGCGGGGTGGACGGTACACCAGCAGAATCCCCAAGCTGTCTCAGGTTCCCACCTTCAGGTGGACACACTCAAACCCAGGAGATTGTGGAACAGTGCATCTGACCAGAGCGATGGACTGCCTAAAGATCACCGCAACCCCTCCTCCCTGCCCCCCGGACCTAGCCTGTTGGTTCACCCCAAAACCTGGTGGGCACAGCTGGGTGAGATTAACTCCACCCAGCTCATCTGACCACGTCTGAGTGATGCAAGCCAGATCCGCTCCCTCATCCAAGACCAGGTCTCCTAGATGACGGATGTCTGTTGGTGCACCCCGAAACCTGGTGGGCACAGCTGGGTGAGATTAACTCCACCCAGCTCATCCAACCACATCTCAGTGATGCAAGCCAGATGCGCCCCCTCATCCAAAACCAGGTCTTGGATGACGGATGTTTTACCGTTGACGGATCTGGCATTCACGAGCCGGATCTGAAGTCCAGGGGGTCTGTCATGGAGACTATCACACCTAACCTTCTCCAGGGTAGCAAGAAGTCTATTGCGCTTCTCCCTGGGTATTTCAACACTTTTTCTTTTTTCTTTTCTGTCGCTCCCTTTTTTTAAAATCCTCTCATTTTCCAAGCTTTCCTATCCAAAAATTGTTCTCCCTCTTTCATTGTTTTACTTTCTATCTATTAATGATACAACTCAATAAAAATCTAATTTAAAAAAAAACATTAAAATAGAATTAAACATAAGAATATTGAAAATAAATATTGAAAACCAATTAAAATAAATAAATAAAACCTCAATGAACCAACCCAATTTAAACATGTTTTGTAAAGCTCTACTGCAGATCTCAGGACCTCATCACATGGAGATTTTCAATCCAGACGATAGCTGGGGGATTCACCATCACTCGTGGAAAGTGTAATGGTGAGCATCGGAACCCATTGCCACACATCCTGCATCACTCCTACCTCATCCCACAGGGGGAAGTGTCACTGCCTGGCTTCTCCCCCTTGCTTACTATGACATTGGACTTCATTTAAGACATGGAACCCTGCTGGAAGTAGATTGACATCGTGTGATGAGATCTGGCAGAATCCATGCCTCACAAGTGAGATCCAAGGCTCATGGTGAGATCCAAGGCTCATTTTGCTTGTCTGATGAAATCCATAAGAAGCTGCTTAAAAACATTCCCCATAGCAAAAGAAAAAAAAAAGAAAAAAGAAAGAAAAGAAAAAAAGAAAAACAAAAAAGGAAAGGAAAGGAAGTAAAAGGAAAGGAAGGGGAAGGAGAGGACACAAAAGTAGCAGCAGCTGATAAAACCTGGCAAAATGCAGAGAGCTATGTTACAAGAACTCACACTGCTTTAGACCAATTTGGGCGACACTAAAAATGACTATTGAGTGACGTGCATAACTGGTTGAAGGAAAATATCCCATCCATGTCATGCATTTAATCCTGAAAAGACAGAGGTCCTTCTGGTCGATCGTAAACCAGATTGGGGTATAGGGTGGCAACCTGTGCTGGACGGGGTTACACTCCCCCTGAAATCACAGGTCCACAGTTTGGGTGTCCTCTTGGACTCATCACTTACACTTGAAGCTCAGGCGTCGGCAGTGGCCGAGAAGGCTTTTGCACAATTGAGACTCGTGCGCCAACTGCGATCGTACCCCGTGAAGGCGGATCTGGCCAGGATGGTCCATGCCTTAGTCACCTCCAGATTGGACTACTGTAATGCGCTCCACGTGGAGCTGCCTTTGAAAACAGCCCGGAAATTCCAACTGGTCCAACGGGCGGCGGCCAGGTTGTTAACTAGTGCTCCTTACAGAGAGAGGTCAGCTCTCCTGTTTAAGGAGTTCCATTGGCTGCCGTTCATTTTCCGGTCCCAATTCAAGGTGCAGGTGCTTACCTACAAAGCCCTAAACGGTTTGGGACCCGCCTACCTGCGTGACCGCTTCTCCGTATATGAACCCACACGATCTCTCCGATCATCTGGAAAGGCCCTGCTCACGATCCCACCTGCATCGCAAGCGTGATTGGTGGGGACGAGGGACAGGGCCTTCTCCGTGGTGGCCCCCTGACTCTGGAACTCTCTCCCCAAGGATATCAGACAAGCCCCAACATTGGCAGTCTTAAGGAAGAGCTTGAAGGCGTGGTTGTTCCAGTGTGCCTTCCCAGAATAGGAAACTCCTAGCATCATGTCCCAAATGCACTTTATTAGAGATTTAAGATTGTCTGCACACTGCACCTATCTCCAAAAACCTATCCATCTCACCTGTCATGTTCAGCATTTTAAAATTTTAATCCTTACATTTGGCCCGGCCTTAGTTTTAAATGTGTCATGGTGTTATTGTCTAATGTTTATTGCTTGTTTTATGAGTTTATTTATTGTTGTATTTGTTATGCTGTTGTTTTATTGATGTGTTGGGCCTCGGCCTCTTGTAAGCCACACCGAGTCCTTCGGGAGATGTTAGCAGGGTATAAATAAAGGATTATTATTATTATTATTATTATTATTATTATTCTACAAGCACAGAGAAACCATTCCCCAAATATCAATGCCAGTGCTATGATTGCGAATCCAGCTTGTTTCTTTGGAAACCAGCTTCCAAGTTTCACACTCAACCTCTTTTCCTGAACCCAAGCAGGAGACCCCAATTACCTACGTGGTAAAGTTGGCCAAATTCTGGATTACTTTGGCCACCAAGGTGAGGGTGCGGGAGGTGCCATCGTTCGGGTATGCCTGAGTGAGTCCAAAGAGGCTGGGGGACATGATGGCTGGGCAGAGGAAGCGTAAGAAGAGGGAAGCTGAAATGAGTCGCTGGCCAATCCCAGGTTTGCCCCGCAGTTGACATGCCTCTTGCCAGGCAGTGAAGACCTCACTCAGCTCAGCAGGAAAAGCACTACAAAGAAAAAGAGCAGGATGACATGTGGAAAAAGCAGCTTAATGACAATAATTTTTGAACCAAAGGGCCCAATATATCAGGATGGAATGGAGTGGTGACACTGATATGTTTAAATGTTTCTTTTGCATTGTATTAGATACGAAAAGGTTTTCCCCTGTCATGTCCGACTCTGGGGTGTGGTGTTCACCTCCATTTCTAAGCCGAAGAGCCAGCATTGTCTGTAGACACCTTCAAGGTCATGTGGCCGGCATGACTGCATGGAGCACCGTTACCTTTCCGCCGGAGGTACTCACATTTGCATGTTTTCGAACTGCTAGGTTGGCAGAAGCTGGGGCTGACAGCAGAAGTTCACCCCGCTCCCCAGAATCGAACCTGCAACCTTTTGGTCAACAAGCTCAGGAGCTCAACGCTTTAACTCATTGTGCCACCAGGGGCTCCATGGTATTAGATATTAGCAGAATAAAGGTAACTTTTATACAATAATTCCTTATTGCTTGACTGTCCATTTCTAAGCCGAAGAGCCAGCATTGTCCGTAGACACCTCCAAGGTCATGTGGCCGGCATGAGTGCATGGAGCGCCGTTACCTTCATGCCAGAGTGGTACCTATTGATCTATTCACATTTGCATGTTTTTGAACTGCTAGGTTGGCAGAAGCTTAGTGCTTGACTGTCCATTTCTAAGCCGAAGAGCCACCATTGTCCGTAGACACCTTCAAGGTCATGTGGCCGGCATGACTGCATGGAGCGCCATTACCTTCCCGCCGGAGCGGTACCGATTGATCTATTCACATTTGCATGTTTTCAAACTGCTAGGTTGGCAGAAGCTGGGGCTGACAGCGGAAGCTCACACCGCTCCCCAGAATCGAACCTGCAACCTTTCAATCAACAAGCTTAGAAGCTCAGTGCTTTAACCCATTGCGCCACCGGGGGCTCCATTGTATTAGATATCCGCAGGATAAAGATAACTTTTATACAATAATTCCTTAGTGCTTGACTGTGAGTTGCTTATTCCATTATGGGATGGAAGTCAGTCATATTTGGCAATTATTGGATACTAATACATTTTTCTTATTTAAAGAGCTACCTGAATATGTAGCAAAGATCCTGGAATATCCTTGAGACAATCAGAATCCAACTACACACACACACACACACTTCAATGCATCTCGTCCACAGTTTTAGCAGGGAGTGAGTAAAAGCTTTGCTACATCTAAGCAACCCTGGAGCTACAACATAACATCCTTAAAATGGTTTCTCTGATTTTATGACTATTTGCAGGATGGCCAACTACCACATTTGACAAGTTCTACGACACTAATTCCAAACTTAAGGCCCATGGGTCAAATCCAGCCCACCATGTCATTTTATGATAGAATTATAGAATCGTAGAGTTGGAAGAAACCAAACACAAAGTACCCCCAAAAGATGGCCATCTAGCCTCTATTTAAAAACCTCTAAAGAAGGAGTTTCCACCAGAAGGCAGAGAGTTGAACAGCTCTTACAGTCGGGAAGTTCTTCCCAATCTTCAGGTGGAATCTCCTTCTACCAGAACTCTTTCTACCAGAACTACAACTCCTATATTTGTTATAACTCTACACCATGGCTACAGCTGATGAGAGCTGTTATACAGTAGCATCTGGAGGGCTACAGATTGTTCTATGTATTGTCGAAGGCTTTCATGGTCAGGATCACTGGGTTGTTGTAGGTTTTTTCGGGCTATATGGCCATGGTCTAGAGGCATTCTCTCCTGACGTTTTGCCTGCATCTATGGCAAGCATCCTCAGAGATAGTGAGGTCTGTTGGAAACCCTGGAGATTCCACAGATATATAAACCCCATTTTCCTAGTTTCCAACAGACCTCACTAGCTCTGAGGATGCTTGCCATAGATGCAGGTGAAACGTCAGGAGAGAATGCCTCTGGAACATAGCCATATAGCCCGAAAAAACCTACAACAGCCCACAGATTGTTCTATATAGTTAGGATAGTGGTGTTTGATGTTTGATAGAGCCATCTTGAATCCACATGGGGAGAAAGGCGAGGTATAAAATAAATAATTAAATAAATAATAAAATAGATATAAGATTTGTAGATATGATGTCTGACTTTAAAATGTCTTCTAAGTCTCCCCCAGACTCAGTCATAGGTGATGTTGGGTTGCAAGTCCTATTATCTCCAGTCCACATGGCAGATCATCAAAAGTGATGGGAGTTATCATTCAGTAACATTGAGACACCCAAATAGGATAAAAAGAGCACCAATCACTATGTAAAAACATTGTAGTTGGCCCTCTGTATCCATTAATTCTCCGTCTCTTTGAAGGCAACCATGAAGCTGATGTGGCTCTCCATGAAAATTAATTTTGACACCCCTGTGCTAGGACCGCTTAAAAACTCAGAGGTGCATGGCATGTGATCACAGCAGTGACTCACTGACATTTTATCCTCTTTATTAAGATCACTCTGACCAAAAGGTCATGAGTTCGAAGCCAGCCCGTGTTGGAGTGGGTTTCCAACCGATTGTGTGTCAACCTTTGCAACCCGAAAGACAGTTGGATCTGCCAAGTTGGAAAATTAGGTACCACCTTAAAAAGTGTGGGGAGGCTAAATTAACTAATTTATGAGGCCATAAAGAAGACTCCAGCAGAGCATTCCAGCGGGGAAGCATGCGGGAATGCGGAAGTGCTTCATCAGCGTCGCAAATGGACGATGAAAGCGACAGCTCCTCTGGCGGCCAGAAAAAGTTTAATAGCCTCTGTGTATGTCTGTATATGTTTGTATGTCAAAAATTGGCATTGAATGTTTGCCATATATGTGTACACTGTACACTGAGTCCCTTGCAGGGTGAGAAGGGTGGAATATAAAAGCTGTAAATAAATAAATAAATAAATAAAATATTAGAGACCCTTCTTCAAATTCTCAAATAAGGATGAGCTTCTCAGCCTGCACTACAGCAAGGGACCAACACTTTACACATCTTCAAATACTCTACTTTTATAAATTGCTCTTAACCAGGGATCCTCAAACTATGGCCCAGGGGCTGGATACGGCCCTCCAAGGTAATTTACCCGGCCCTCGCTCAGGGTCAACTTAAGTCTGAAAGGACTTGAAAGCACACAACAACAACAACAACAACAATCCTATCTCATCAGCCAAAAGCAGGCCCACACTTTCTATTGAAATACTAATAAGTTTATATTTGTTAAAATTGTTCTTCGTTTTAATTATTGTATTTTAAAGTGTTTTTTGCACTACAAATAAGATATGTGCAGTGTTCATAGGAATTCATTCATATATTTTTTTTGAATTATAATCCTGCCCTCCAATAGTTTGATGGACTGTGACCTGGCCCTCTGTTTAAAAAGTATGAGGACCCCTGTTCTTAAGATGAAATGCAGAATCCTCCTTATCCATCAGAGAGCTCATACATACATTCAGTCAGCGTCAAGCAGAATGTGTCTACTATAAAGGGGCCACAAGGGATCTTGAAAGGGACTTTTATGTTCCAGCAATCTGGGAAGGAGAAGCCCATCCCAGTCTCCCTGTACCAAAGGAAAGCCTAGTTAGACCCAGTGAGGAAAGTTTTTCCCAACACCCCTGCTCAAATGCTCACTGGATAGACTCAGCAATCTTCCGGAAGACCTCTTCACAGAGATGCTGTAGGTTGCTGCGGTTGTCCGCAAGGTCAAATGGTGCACATTTGCTGGGGTCCACTTCACACTTGTCCTCCAGAGAACATGGTCGGGCAACAATGTCACCTGTAACATATATACACAACCCTGTATGTTTCAGCTGCAACCAAACTATGTCAAGTTTATTTATTTACTTTGCTTATATACCGCTGTTCTCAGCCCGGCGACTCACAGCGGTATACAACATAGAAGGACAAGGTTCAAAATTCAGACACAATCTAAAATATCAATCTAGCAATAACCAAAAACATCATCATCAAAACATCAACAATATCAATAATACAAAAAGCCATTCACGTCGTCTCATCGTTTAAACCACAATCCAGTATCATTTTCCGTTGTTCCATTCCTGTCGTCATTACCAATTATTGCACTTCTTGTTCGAACGCCTTCTTGAACAGCCAAGTCTTTAATTTCCTGCGGAATATCATCAGGGAAGGAGCCAGTCTGATGTCCACCACCGAGAAGGCCCTGTCTCTCGTCCCCGCCAGGCGTGCCTGTGAGGCAGGCGGGATCAAGAGCAGGGCCTCCCCGGACGATCTCAAAGTCCTGGTGGGCTCGTCGAGATGCGGTCGGATAGGTATCTTGGGCCAGAACCGTTTAGGGCTTTATAGGCCAACGCCAGCACCTTGAATTGAGCCCGGTAGCAAATCAGCAGCCAGTGGAGCTGGTACAACAAGGGGGTTGTATGCTCCCTGCGTCCCGCTCCTGTTAGTAACAAGTTACCCGTGGGTTAGTGCATGACCCAACATTCAGAGGAAAACAAATAAATTGTGGGGTTTTTTTTTGAAGATGTCAGTTCTCAAAATCACCTACTGAATATACTCATGTATAGGTTTAGAACTGTTAGTCAAAAATCCGACCCCAAAAAATCTGGGTGACATTCTCCCGGCTATGGAGCACCCTCCCGGTGGACATCAGACAGGCGCCCTCCCTTATGTCATTCCGCAAGGGACTAAAGACCTGGTTATTCGAGCAGGCGTTTAACTAAATGCTATAATAAGTGGCAATGATAACCTGGAACGGAATATGGAATACGAGATTGGTTTACGATTCTATAATGAGACGACACGGATGATTTAGAGTAATTATATTATTGTTGTATTATTGATGGTTATGTGTATATTTCGTTTGTATGAGGGTTTTATTGTAAACTGTTTATATGTTGTACACCGCCGTGAGTCGCCCGAAAGGGCTGAGAACGGCGGTCAACAAATGCAATAAATAAATAAATAAAATAAATAAATTCTTAGGTCAGTGTAAGGACTGTACCTTAACTCATCACTCCCTTCTCTGTGGCTGGATCCACACTGCCATATAATCCAGTTTTTGATCCCAGATTATCTGCTTTGAACTGGATTATATGGCAGTATAGACTCATAATCCAGTTCAAAGCAGATAATCTGGGATCAGATACTGGATTATATGGCAGTGTAGATACAGCCTGAGTAGAGTGGCAAAAGGTTATTTATTTAAAACATTTATATTCCGCCCTTCTCACCCCGAAGGGGACTCAGGGCGGAGCACAGCATATACACGGCAAACATTCAATGCCGGGTTAGAGCATAGGTTAGAGCAGTGGTTCTCAACTTGGGGTCCCCAGATGTTTTTGGCCTACAACTCCCAGAAACCCCAGCCAGTTTACCAGATGTTAGGATTTCTGGGAGTTGAAGGCCAAAAACATCTGGGGACCCTAGGTTGAGAACCACTAGGTTAGAGGATAGAGTATAGGTTAGAGTATAGGCAAGGTAATAAACACCTGCTGACCCAGAATTCCTAACAAAATCTATGTCAATGGCAAAGAGGGGAAAGTAGATGAGTGTGAGAGTTTCAGGACCTATACATGGATCATTCTGCTGGGAACGCCAGTTTTACCCTAGATCAGTGGTTCTCAACTTGTGAGTCCCCAGGTGTTTTTGTCAGAAATCCCAGCCAGTTTACCAGTTGTTACGATTTCTGGGAATTCAAGGCCAAAGCATCTGGGGATCCACAGGTTGAGAACCACTGCCCTAGATATTGACAATCTTCCTTCATGGCATCCTGTCGCATTGACAGAGATCAAGAACCTTCTTAGGCTCCTTTTATACTGCCATATGAACCAGAATATCCAAACAGATAATCCCCTGTCTGCTTTGAATTGGGTTATATGAGTCTACACTGTCATATAATCAGGGGCGGCTCAACCAATTACGCAAAGTAAGCATTCACAGTATAGTTGATTTTGCCCAGGGGTGCTCTTGAGGCGCTCTTGGGGGAAAACAGACCTTGACATATGCGAGTTGTAGTTACTGGGATGTATAGTTCACCTACAATCAAAGAGCATTCTGAACTCCACCAATGATGGAATTGAACCAAATATGGCACACAAAACTCCCACAACGAACAGAAAATATATTTCAATGAGTGGTTGGGGGGGCGGGGAGGGCGCCAAATACTGTTTGCTTACCGTTGAAAATTACCTAGGGCCGCCTCTGCATATAATCCAGTTCAAAGCAGATAATCTGGATTTTATATGGCAGTGTAGATGGGACATTTGAGATATGAGGACAGGAAACTGTAAGATATGAGAGACCTCAGATCTTACAGGTCAATTATTCTCTTACGAATATTATTTTGGCCATCAATTTTTCCAGTGGCAGAGGGTTCCACAAATCACTTTAATGAATTGAATCATAAGGACTAGTTCCAAAAAATCCTCTAACATGACCTTAGGCTAGATCAACCACCTGGCATTTTATTCTATATGAATATAGCAGTGAGAAAAACCTCCTAAACTAGTATCTGCTGCAAACACTAGGCCATAGCCTCTCTTTTGCCACCAGCCGTTCTCTCAACTTACCTAGTGTGGCCAAAAGATATGGGCCTCCCACCAGCTTCATGTACTCATCAATGGCCTTGGTAGCAAGAGTGTTCTCACGGAAAAGCAAGGCTTCTCGTTCATCAAAACGGTCCAGCTCTGCCAATCCCAAATCAATCAAAAAGTCCTACAACATAGAAAGGGGAAAATATATTATTTATCCATTAATTTATTCACTCATTTATTGCATTGATTGTTTTTCTTCTAGAGCAGGACCCAAGGGATCTATAAGTTCCCCAATGTGATTCTATAGTCAGTTTCCAATGGAGTCTTACCACAGGACGTAGAAATTCCTAGGAAAATGTATTGTTGGAGGCTTTCATGGCTGGAATCACTGGGTTGTTGTAAGTTTTTCGGGCTATATGGCCATGTTCTAGAAGATGGCCATATAGCCCAAAAAACCTACAACAACCCATTCCTAGGAAGGTTTTCTCTCAGGTTAAAAAATGTTTTATTTGCAGTTTTTCACTCTCATAAGGGAGGGCTGACTAAACATGATTATAGCTCTTTGAGTCCACCTTAGCTGCCATAGCAATATTCTCCAGCATGTATTGTCGAAGGCTTTCATGGCCGGAATCACTGGGTTGTTGTAGGTTTTTTCGGGCTATATGGCCATGGTCTAGAGGCATTCTATCCTGACGTTTCGCCTGCATCTACGGCAACATGCTTGCCAAAGATGCAGGCGAAATGTCAGGAGAGAATGCCTTTAGACCATGGCCATATAGCCCGAAAAAACCTACAACAACCCAGATTCTCCAGCATCTTGGGATTGGCAGTTCAGAGAAGGGTACTTTGAATTCTCAACTAAAGATCACTGTTGAATCACGAAACTACAAACTACAGAATGCAGCTGTGGCAATTCAGATGGAAACACAGTGTTATAAATGAGTGTGGACAGTCCTCAAGTTACAAAAAAGGTAGGCTATTAGGTTGAATTTGTGTGTAAGTCGGAACAGGTACTTTTTAAAGTGTAACTCCATATATATATATATATATATATACACACACACACACACACACACACACACACACACACACACACATATATATATGTGGCATAGGTAAGGGTTGACATCTCTGTAGTGTTTGTTTATCTGTCTGTTCAGAAGATTTCACTTCACTTTCTGTCCCAGAGTCCCCGGTGGCGCAGTCCTGTGCCGGCAGGACTGAAGACCGACAGGTCGCAGGTTCAAATCCGGGGAGAGGCGGATGAGCTCCCTCTGTTAGCTCCAGCTCCTCATGCGGGGACATGAGAGAAGCCTCCCACAAGGATGATAAAAATATCAAATCATCTGGGCATCCCCTGGGCAACGTCCTTGCAGACGGCCAATTCTCTCACACCAGAAGCGACTTGGAGTTTCTCAAGTCGCTCCTGACACGACAAAAACAAAAACAAAACAAAAAAAACCCCTTTCTGCCCCTGTGATAACTGGATTGGAAAAATGGCTTGTTGTTGAAACAAGGATTGGTGACAAAACATCAATTGATAATTCAACAGGAGTGAATTTCCCTTTCGAGAGGTAGCACTTTCTTACTTCCTGTTGTCTCACCTCCATGCTTAACTATGAGTCGTTTGTAAGTCGGATGTTTGTAACTTGGAGATTGCCTATATAGCAGCGTTTCTCAATCTGGCGGTCAAGAACCCTGGGGGGGGGGTCACGAGGGGGTGTCAGAGTGGTCTCCAAAGACCATCAGAAACACAGTATTTTCTGTTGGTCATGGGGGTTCTGTGTGGGAAGTTTGGCCCAATTCTATCATTGGTGGGGCTCAGAATGCTCTCTGATTGTAGGTGAACTGTAAATCTCAGCAACTACAACTCCCAAATGTCAAGGCCTATTTCCCCCAAACTCCACCAGTGTTCACATTTAGGTATATTGAGTATTCGTGCCAAGTTTGGTCCAGATCCATCATTTTTGAGTCCACAGTGCTTTCTGGATGTAGGTGAATTACAACTCCAAAACTCAAGGTCAATGCCCACCAAACCCTTCCAGTATTTGGTCATGGGAGTTCTGTGTACCAAGTTTGGTTCAATTCCATCGTTGGTGGAGTTCAGAATGCTCTTTGATTGTAAGCTAACTACAAATCCCAACAACTACAACTCCCAAATGACAAAATCAACCCCTGCATCCCCACCAGTATTCAAATTTGAGTATTTGTGCCAAATTTGGTCCAGTGAATGAAAATACATCCCGCATATCAGATATTTACATGATGATTCTAACAGTAGCAAAATGACAATTATGAAGTAGCAATGGAAATATGGTTATGGTTGGGGGTCACACAGGGGTGGCTCCACCATTACGCACAGTAAGCATTCACAGTATAGTTGATTTTGCCCAGGGGCGCTCTTGAGGCGCTCTTGGGAGGAAATAGACCTTGACATATGCGAGTTGTAGTTACTGGGATGTATAGTTCACCTACAATCAAAGAGCATTCTGAACTCCACCAATGATGGAACTGAACCAAATATGGCACACAGAACTCCCATGACAAACAGAAAATATATATCAGTGATTGGTTGGGGGGGGGGGCAAAATACTGTTTGCTTACCCTTGAAAATTACCTAGGGCCGCCTCTGGGGTCACAACAACATGAGGGACTATATTAAGGGGTCACGGCATTAGGAAGGTTGAGAAACACTGCTATATAGTAAAAGGACGTGTAATTGAATAAAGCAGCTGCCCACAATAGGAAGCATTCACACATAGAAACTGCAGATGGCAGTATAAACACAGGCTTATGAGCCAAGCAACAGCTTGAAATATTACAGGTGGATGTGATGTTTCCAACTCATGCCTCTTTTCCCAACTTGGGTGCCTGTAAGTTCAGAGGTACCTTGGCTTTGCCTGTGCTTTGCAAGACGCGCACCAAGACGCTGGTCAACTCCTCCTTGTCTCTGGCGCTGAGGCTGTGCTCCAGCCCAGCACACAGCTCCTGGTAATGGAAAGTGAGATACTCTGCAAACTCTTTGTACCGCACAATGGGTAGCACACGGATGTTGCAATAGCGTCCTCGAAGACGGAGGGTGGACAGGTTTGGCCTGTCCCTGCCCAGAGGATACCACCTTTCCAAGGGCTGCCGCACAGCAGCCAGCTCCTTTAAAGGGATGGCCACACTGGTGATAAGGCTGCCTGCTTTGAGCCCCTCTTCCTCCTGCACTAGGCAGACGTGCAGCTCCTCAGCTGGTGGCAGAGTCTTCAGGTCAAAGTGCTCTCCCCAGAAGATGGTTCCAGTGGGACTGGCCCGTTTAGTGGTGGTGCGAGCATACAGAGCTCCATCCAGTCGCAGCTCACAGAGATAGGGCCTCCGAGGAGCCAGGTCCCGGGCCTCGTACACCCAAAGGCTCAGCATACGTTCAGTCCGTTCACAGTTGTCCTGAGAAGGGAATAGATTGAGAAGTGGGATGCAGAGAAAGGTGAGGAGGAGGGAAAGGGAAGGAGATCAAACTAGGCACTAAGTAGGTGTGTAGGACAGGGACTGGGTTCATGGAGATTTATTTATTTGTTTACTATATTTGTATACCGCTCTTCTCAGCCCTCGAGCGACTCAGAGCGGTTAACAATAACAAAATTTAATGCTCAAAAACATCATAAAACAGTAGCATACAGTCAATATAAATCAATAAAACATCTCATTAGCGTCTCATAGTTAAAATCGAAATCCAGTCTCCTCATCCAATTGTTCCATATTCCTATGTTCGTTACACTGTCTATTCAAATGCCTGCTCGAACAACCAGCTCTTCGCTTTCCTCCGAAATGTCAACAGGGAGGAGGCCAATCTAATATTTGTAGGAAGGGCACTCCACAGCCAAGAGGCCACCACCGAGAAGGCCCTGTCTCTTGTCCCCGCCAAACGTACCTGTGACGCAGGCGGGACCAAGAGCAGGGCCTCCCCAGATGATCTTAACACCCTAGCTCCGTGATGGTGAACATATGACATGCGTTTCACCAGACACGCATGGCTATTTTTGTTGACACACGGCCACATGCAGCCGCATACAGAGAAGTACACCTTATAAAAGCCAATCTAATTCCATTTTTAAATTTGTAAAAGACTCTACAAACTTAACACCTGCACGTTTGAGCATTGTTCACTCCATAACTGGAATATACATTTTTCTTATTTAAACTATAAATATTGCAAAATTATGTTTTTTCTCTCTCTCGAAGTTGACACCCCACCCAAGTTATGCTCTGGTTTTTGGCAAATTTTGATACACCAAGCTCAAAAGGTTGCCCATCACTGCCCTAGCTGGTTCATAGGAGAAACTAAATAAATAGTATCCCCCCCCCCACCCCATATCCATAGAAAAGTAACCATGGTAACCATGGTTTCATTTATCCATGCCCAACAAAATACTATATCCTTTCTAGGTATTTCTTCAGTTCTTGAAAACAATTCTATAGTATTCTTGGGCAAGAAGATCTTCATTTTCATACAGTTTGCTATTATCTATGAAAATACCTCTTGTGGATTTGTGAGTTGAAAAAGCATGTAAATATTATCATTTTCTGAATATCTTCCACGATCTCTCAGTAATAATAATCATCATCATCATCTTTATTTATACCCCGCCACCATCTCCCCAAAGGGATTCGGAGCAGCTTACATGAGGCCAAGGCCGACAACACATCAATAAAACAAAAATCAATAAGCAAAAACAATATAATTAATATAACTCACATGTAAACAGTGACACACAAGGATTTAAAAACCTCATCAGTGATGTCACTAGATGGCTACAGACTTTACCGAGTGGATATATGAAAACTGGGTGTCACCCGTCACCATCTGTCTCTCAGGACCCTTCCACACAGCCATATTATCCAGAATATCAAGTCAGATAATCCGCAATATCTGCTTTGAACTGGGTTATCTGAGTTATCTGAGTCCACACTGCCATATAATCCAGTTCAATGTGGGTTTTTATAAAACTGTGTGGAAGGGGCCTCGATCTCCTAGTTGTCCCTCTCCACTGACCAAGGTGTCCCTACCATCCATCTACCACAGCCAATGGTGGAGATGAGGTGCTTCTGCCACTGGGCAGCTCCTTTCAGATCTGGCTTCTGGCTTGGTCAGGACTGGGAGGCAGTGGCAATGAGAAGCAGGGGAATCCACGGCAAGAGAAGGGAGGGGCAGTCATTTGCCAGTCATCTGGGATGTGTTTGGAGGGTCACAAGGCATGCAGGAAATGGAGGATGAAGGTTGAGTGCTCCTTCCCATCTGCCACTGCCCCCATCCTGCTCTCTCTCCAGGATGACATTATGGGTTAGCACATGAGTCAACACACTGAGTTAACCAAATGTAGTCACACCACTGCAGCCAGTGTCCATGCTGGATGGGGCACTCCAGTAACATTGGTACAACACTGGGCGTTCCCAATCAGGCAGAAAAAGGTTGAAGAGAGAGTAAGAAACATGACCACAAAAGCCACCATATAGAAGGATGAATCAAACAACAAAAATAAGGAATAGGTTTAGGGTTACCTTGCTCTCAGGTACTTGGCTATAAACTTTTAGTGGGCTTTTGAGATAATTACATTAGAGTATATGCCCCAAATGAATGAAGAATGTGAAGCAGGAAATGGATTTATACAAGGGATGGACACAGGAATACATAAAGGTATTGAGTCCATGAGGGGAAAACTGTTAAATGTATTGTCGAAGGCTTTCATGGCCAGAATCACTGGGTTGTTGTAGGTTTTTTCAGGCTATATGGCCATGGTCTAGAGGCATTCTCTCCTGACGTTTCGCCTGCATCTATGGCAAGCATCCTCAGAGGTAGTGAGGTGCCATAGATGCAGGCGAAACGTCAGGAGAGAATTCCTCTAGACCATGGCCGTATAGCCCGAAAAAACCTACAACAACCTGGAAAACTGTTAGTTGGGAGACCTGGAAGAAGTATGGCCTTTGCATGAACAGAGAAGTCACAGAACAATCTGTTTTTACCATGCTGGGCTGGACCGCTCGGCGCCAGTCCTCCATTGAACGGGTCCTCTCAGCAGCAGAAGCGCACTTGAAGCAGCGCCTCCCTCCAGCACTCAGAACCTGCAAAAGTGGACAAAAAACTCTGTGTAAGGAAGGCTCTTTGAGCGTGGCTTTGGTCCACCACTTGTGATAACCAAAGAAGGACAACAGAAACTTCTTAGATGAAGCCAATTCGTTGCTGGATCCCAGCTGCAGTGCTTGAGAAGTCAACCTTAAGTGTTTGGTGTTGACAACAGGGGTGGACACTTGTGGAAAGAGTGGAAGTTATTCCTCCCTGGGATATAAACATGCACACATAAACCCCTACAGTCTGCACCATCATAGAATCATAGAATCATAGAATCAAAGAGTTGGAAGAGACCTCATGGGCCATCCAGTCCAACCCCCTGCCAAGAAGCAGGATTATTGCATTCAAACCACCCCTGACAGATGGCCATCCAGCCTCTGTTTAAAAGCCTCCAAAGAAGGAGCCTCCACCACACTCCGGGGCAGAGAGTTCCACTGCTGAACGGCTCTCACAGTCAGGAAGTTCTTCCTCATGTTCAGATGGAATCTCCTCTCATATTTTAGTGCACCAAAAGTGTCAGCTCATAACTTCCAGGTATCATTCTAGACCAAGCCTGTTCAACCTGCACACCTCCTGCTGTTTTGGTCTCCAACTCCCAGAAGCCCTAACCAACTTGTCCAATGGCCAGGAATTCTGGGAGTTGTGCAGGCCTATCTTAGACCATTTTCAGTCATTATTTTTCAGGGTTGGCAATTACAACCAATTTCGAAATCGTAGCCAATTTCAGACTGATTTGGCTTGTTTGGGAGCAAGAAAATTCCCCGAAAATAGTCACATTTTTTAATATAATGTGTCTTTGGGATACCAAGCTGTTATACAAGTAGTCCCACTTTTGTCTCAGCTCTGTCCTGGTTCTTCTGGTTCTGTTGCACCATGCGGTTTTTGGGAATGTGGTTTTGTTCATGCTGATATCAGTGCATTTGTGACCTCCTTTTCAACTCCTGACTCAGTAACCAGTTTGAGTAGGGATCCACTTCATCCCACGAACAATCAATTAGTGGATGCCAAGTGGGTGTGACCTGGTTGTCCCTCCTATGGGGATTTCCAAGGAAATCCTCAGGAGGAAAACCTCAGGTTTTTTTTTGTCATGTCAGGAGCGACTTGAGAAAGTGCAAGTCGCTTTTGGTGTGAGAGAATTGGCCGTCTGCAAGGACGTTGCCCAGGGGACGGCTGGATAATTTGATGTTTTTATCATCCTTGTGGGGGGCTTCTCTCATGTCCCGCATGAAGAGCTGGAGCTGATAGAGGGAGCTCATCCACCTCTCTCCAGATTCGAACCTGCGAGCTATCGGTCTTTATTCCTGCCGGCACAGGGGTTTAACCCACTGCACCACCGGGGGCTCCTGCTTGAAAGTGAGGACTTTAAGATCATCTGGAGAGGTCCTGCTCTCGGTCCTGCCATCATCACAAATACGGTTGGCGGGAACCAGAGACAGGGCCTTCTCAGTGGTGGCCCCTTGGCTATGGAATGCCCTTCCTAGGGAGATTAGTAAATAAATAAAGACATAGAGAAACAGAAAAGGAACTTGGTCTTGTGTGCCATGATGTGTCCTGCCGGCACAGGGGTTTAACACACTGCGCCACCGGGGGCTCCTAACCTCAGGTTGCTTCCAGTGCTTACATGAGGACACAACTTCCCAAGAGGAGAATAATAATAATAATAATAATAATAATAATAATAATAATAATAATAATCTTTATTTATACCCCACCACCATCTCCCCAACTGGGACTCGGGGCAGCTTACATGAGGCCAAGCCCAACAGTGCATTATAATAAAATAAAAACAAAACACAAAGCAACAGCATGATGGATGCATAAAATATAAGAATACAGTAAGCAATGTAAAAATACAATAAAAATATTTCACAATCACAGTGACAGTGTGCTTTCTCTTCTCTACACCCTTGAAACCCCTTTCTAACTTTCCCCCCTAATTTTAAAACACAGTATACATGGGTTGTTGTAGGTTTTTTCGGGCTGTATGGCCATGGTCTAGAGGTATTCTCTCCTGACGTTTCGCCTGCATCTATGGCAAGCATCCTCAGAGGTAGTGAGGTCTGTTGGAACTAGGAGGTTAAGTATTAGGCTTGGGCAATCCATGGTTCTAAATGGTTCTAAAGTACTTACAAAACTAAAGTTCTGGTGGTGAAAATTTCAGAACTCTAACAAAACTCTCAAAATTTCATAATAAATGGCAGTTCCTAATTGGTTCTGTCATTAAAATCACCAATAATGAAATAATAATTAAATTTTGAAAGTTTTGTTAGAGTTCTGAAATTTTCACCACCAGAACTTTAGTTTTGTAAGTACTTTAGAACCATTTAGAACCATGGATTGCCCAAGCCTAGTTTATATATCTAATTACCTCTCAACAAAAGTTTGCTCCAGGCACAGTCAGGCCATTGTATGCTAATCAAGGTGATCAGTTGAAACATTCACACCTAGCTCCAGCAGACAAGAGTCCTTTGTCTCACCCTGGTCATTCCACAGATATATAAACCCCTTTTTCCTAGTTCCAACAGACCTCACTACCTCTGAGGATGCTTTCCATAGATGTAGGCGAAACGTCAGAAGAGAATGCCTCTAGACCATGGCCATATAGCCCGAAAAAACTACAACAACCCAGTGATTCCGGCCATGAAAGCCTTCGACAATACATTAATCTGAGTCTTCTTGCCAAACTGGAACAGTTCGAGGATATGAAAGTCTACAAGTTGCAGTTTAAGTAATTACTTTAGTTGGATTGCTCCCCTTTGACTGGAAAACGTGAAAACAGTTCCTTGGCTCAAGGGACACGAGGAAGCCCTCACCTCAAAGCAATACTGCTCCCCCAGGAGGCTACTGTGAAGCGGGCGGATCAAGATGTCCTTCTCATTGTCCAAGTCCAGGAGAACAGTAGGGCCAGGCAGCACATCCCTGGAGGAAGTGAGCAGAGGAGACATCATAGAGTAAGAGCAGACATGTATATAGGTACCCCAATGCCAACCACCATCAACAGCCAGATCTTTTTTCTTTTCCCTCTTTCTCCCTTCGTCCCATAATGTTTGTGACAATGATTTGGTCCATCTCAATGTTTCTCAAACTCTGTTTCTCCAGATGTTTGGGATTTCAACTCTCTGAAGCCTTGGCTATCTTGGTTGAGAATCGGGGATTCTGGGCACAAAAATCCAAAAACATGTTTCCCACTCATAGGTTGTGTACAAGCATTATTGAGGAGAAAATGAAGCACATTTTCACCTTGAAGTAGTTAAGGGAATGAGGGATGTATACTTGGGATGGATCTAAACTGCCAAATAAAATCCAAATTCTCTGCTTTGAAATGGGCAATATGGCAGTGTAGATGCATATAATCCAGTTCAAAGCAGATAATGTGGATCATCTGCTTTGATAACCTGGATTATATGGCAAAATAGACCCTGCCTTACTGGGTTTTCAAAAGTTCCATGTTAATTCTCAGTGTGGGTTTTGACACTCCAACTCTTGCAGGCTTCTACAGGCAACATGTTTACAGTTGGGTTGTTGTAGTTTTTTCGGGCTATACGGCCATGTTCTAGAGGCATTTTCTCTTGATGTTTCACCTGCATCTATGGCAAGCATCCTCAGAGGTCAGACGTCTGTTGGAACTAGGAAAAGGGGGTTATATATCTGTGGAATGACCAGGGTGGGACAAAGGACTCTTGTCTGCTGGAGCTAGGTGTGAATGTTTCAACGGACCTCTTTGATTAGCATTTGATGGCCTGGCAGTTGTTTGATGTGGCTTGTTAGTGCCTGGGACAATCTTTAGTTGAGAGGTGATTAGATGTCCCTGACTGTTTCCTCTCTGTTGTTGTGCTGTTGTAATTTTAGAGTTTTTAATACTGGTAGCCAGACTTTTTTCATTTTCATGGTTTCCTCCTTTCTGTTGAAATTGCCCACATGCTTGTGGATTTCAGTGGCTTCTCTGTGTAGTCTGACATGGTGGTTGTTAGAGTGGTCCAGCATTTCTGTGTTCTCAAATAATATGCTGTGTCTAGGTTGGTTCATCATGGCCATATTGCCCGAAAAAAACTACAACAACCCAGTGATTCCGGCCATGAAAGCCTTCAACAATACATGTTTACAGTTGCTTGAAAGTTTTTTGTTTTATTTTTTTGTCGTGTCTGGAGCGACTTGAGAAACTGCAAGTCGCTTCTGGTGTGAGAGAATTGGCCGTCTGCAAGGATGTTGCCCAGAGGGCGCCCAGGTGATTTGATGTTTTTATCATCCTTGAGGGAGGCTTCTCTCATGTCTCTGCATGAGGAGCTGGAGCTGGAGCTGGTAGAGGGAGCTCATCCGCCTCTCCCCGGATTTGAACCTGCGACCTATCAGTCTTTAGTCCTGCCGGCACAGGGGTTTAACCTACTGTACCACCGGGGGCTCCTGCTTGAAAGTGAGGACTTTAAGATCATCTGGAGAGGTCCTGCTCTCGGTCCTGCCATCATCACAAATACGGTTGGCGGGAACCAGAGACAGGGCCTTCTCAGTGGTGGCCCCTTGGCTATGGAATGCCCTTCCTAGGGAGATTAGTAAATAAATAAAGACATAGAGAAACAGAAAAGGAACTTGGTCTTGTGTGCCATGATGCTCAGTGAATGATATAGGGAGGGGAGAAGTTGAGATGGCCACAAATCAGGCAATTTATCTCAAACTGATGTACACTCAAACTGCAAAATTAACACAGTTTGAGACCACTTTAACTGTTATGGTTCTATGCTATGGAATCCTGGGATTTCTAGTCTGGTGAGGTCCCACCACTCTTTGGCAAAGTGAATGAAAATGTAAAACTACAAATGCTAGGTTTCCATAACATTGATCCCAGACAGTTAAGGTTGTTTCTACAGTGTAGATGCATACTTAGTTACAGATGGAACAAAATAGAGGCAGAAGAGACAAAACAATATAGGTTCACTTTCAAACCAGTTTCAGGGCTTACCCAGCACCATTCACAGCAAGTCCTGATGAGGAATCAGCCTTGGCCTGGAATCGACCTTTTCTGTCCCTGATACGTTTCCACAGCAAGCCCTAGAGATGTAGGAAGGGGAGAATCAGCACAGGAAAGATGGTCTATTACCTGTTGTGATGAAATGAGAAGAGGCTAATGGTCACCTAGGTGGGATTTCCCCAAGATAGGTAACACTCCGGCCCTTCGCAGACAAATGTAATCATAGAATCATAGAATCAAAGAGTTGGAAGAGACCTCATGGGCCATCCAGTCCAACCCCCTGCCAAGAAGCAGGAATATTGCATTCAAATCAGCCCCGACAGATGGCCATCCAGCCTCTGTTTAAAAGCTTCCAAAGAAGGAGCCTCCACCACACTCTGGGGCAGAGAGTTCCACTGCTGAACAGCTCTCACAGTCAGGAAGCTCTTCCTCATGTTCAGATGAAGATGGACTCATCAGTTCTCACCAGCTGAAAGCAAGACTTCTCCTCCTAGTTTCTGCCTAAGATGCAACTGGAGTTGTAGGCTCATACAAGTGATCCAAGCCATCAAACCACAGTACCTCCTCCCAACACACACGCACTCACACACACCAACACACACACACACACTTGTTAATCATTCTTAACTTGATTATCTGTGACTCTGGTTCTGCTAAGCATCCTCCTTCTAGGTGTAGTAATCCCTGGTGGAAGGTTGGTGGGAACAGAGTCTAATAAAGAAGGGCTTCTTTTTATGAATGCTGCCAGAAAAATAGCAGTAAAAAAACTAGTACAAGTTGTTGTTGTTCATTCGTTCAGTCGTTTCCGACTCTTTGTGACTTCATGGACCAACCTACGCCAGAGCTCCCTGTTGCCCGTCACTATCCCCAGCTCCTTCAGAGTCAAGGCAGTCACTTCAATGATCCCATCCATCCATCTTGCCCTTGGTCGGCTCCTCTTCCTTTTCCCCCAGCATTATTGTCTTCTCTAAGCTTTCTTGTCTTCTCATTATGTGGCCAAAGTACTTCAAATTTGCCTCTAATATCCTTCACTCCAATGAGCAGTTGGGTTTTATTTCCTGAAGTATGGACTGGATTGATCTACTCGCAGTCCAAGGCACTCTCAGAATTTTCCTCCAGCACCACAGTTCAAAAGGATGCTTTTGAACTGTGGTGCTGGATGAAATTCTGAGAGTGCCTTGGACCGCAGAAGATCCAACCAGTCCATACTTCAGGAAATAAAGCCCGACTGCTCATTGGAGGGAAGGATATAGGCCAAGATGAAGTACTTTGGCCACATCATGAGGCAGGAATGCTGGGGAAAATGGAAGGAAAAGGAAGAGGGGCCGACCAAGGGCAAGATGATTATAATAATAATAATACTTTATTTGTACCCCGCTACCATCTCCCCAAGGGACTTGGTGCAGCTTACATGAGGCCAAGCCCAGAATACATCAATAAACAAAACATCAATAATCAAAACAATAAAACAATCAATACAATACAAATCATATATATCACATGAACAAAAAATAGGCAATAAACAATCAACAAGATGAAGGCCAAGATGAAGTACTTTGGCCACATCATGAGAAGAAAGGAAAGCTTAGAGAAGACAATGATGCCGGGGAAAATGGAAGGAAAAAGGAAGAGGGGCCGACCAAGGGCAAAATGGATGGATAGTATCCTTGAAGTGACTGGATTGATCTTGAAGGAGCTGGGGGTTGTGACAACCGACAGGGAGCTCTGGCGTGGGCTGGTCCATGAAGTCACAAAGAGTTGGAAACGACTGAACGAATGAACAACAACAACAACAACAACCACAGTTCAAAACCATCTATCTTCCTTTGCTCACCCTTCCTTATGGTCCAGCTCTCACATCCATAGGTTACTATGGGGAATATCATTGCTTTGACTATGCAGATCTTCGTTGCCAGTGTGATGTCTCTACTCTTCACTATTTATAAATAGTGAAGAGTAGTTAAAGTTGACTACGCCTTATCCAAAATCCTTCAAACCAGAAGTATTTGGGATTTTGGATTGTTTCAGATTATGGAATACTTGCAAATAAAGATTATGAGATATCTTGAAAATTGGATTGAAGTCTAAACATAGAGTTCATGTATGTTTTACATGTACCTTATATAGCCTGAAATTAATTTTATGTACTATATTTTTTAGTCATGTAGGGCATGAATCAAAGTTTGTGTACACTGAACCATCAGAAAGCAAGTGTCATTATCTCAGCCAATCATACGGACAATTTCAGATTTTGGAGTATTTGGAATTTCAGATTTCTGAACAAGGGGTGCCCACTTCTGCAGTAGGAATATTTGGTTCTTCTGAATGTGGAAGGGAATTGCTTAATCTGTCTTTTACCTTCTGACAATGCTAGAACCCTTTGGCCTTCCAGATGTGAAGGACCATGAGTTACATCATCTCTTAAATTGTGGGCATGCAGACTGGGTCTGTTGGAAACTGAAGTCCAAAATATCTGGAAGGCCAAAATGTCCCCCACTCCTCTTCTACTATGACAAGAGTCCTAGGCAGAGAACAGCATTTGGATAAATAAAGCTATAATGTCCCAAAGCAAAACATTTAATCCATCTAGTCTAGTGTTGTCTGACATCAGAGTGTTCCTGACAAGCCCTCTGCAATATATGGAAAAATATGTTTTTGGATGACAAGCCATATAATCCCTCACTGAATCCATGCTAGTTGGAGGGTTCTGAGAACAGGAGTGTCACCTATCCACTGATCTTCTACTTACAGAGCCGAGGAGAGGGAACAAGGAGCTGTAGTGAGACCACACAAAACTGAAAGATCCTGACAAGCTGCAATACACCATGACTTTATGCCCAAACTCTTTCCACTCCACCTCACCTTTAAGCACCTACTATACCTCCAGCACACATTTTGTACCTTGACATTGCTGAGTTGTGTTCCAGAAGAAGCTTCCTGGAAGGGCCTTTTTTCTGGGGTCCGAGAATCTAGGAAGCTTCGTCCCTCAGCTGCTATCTCTGTTGACAGCAAAATTGTTGTGTTATTGTTCCTGATGATATTGATGAAGTGCTTACAACAGGGGTCCTCAAACTAAGGCCCGGGGGCCGGATATGGCCCTCCAAGCTCATTTACCTGGCCCTCACTCAGGTTCAACCTAAGTCTGAAATTATTTGAAAGCACACAACAACAACGATCCTATCTCATCAGCCAAAAGCAGGCCCACACTTCCCATTGAAATACTAATAAGTTTATATTTGTCAAAATTGTTATTCATTTTAATTACTGTATTGTTTTTAAGTGGTATTTTTTGCATTACAAATAAGATATGTGCAGTGTGCATAGGAATTCATTTATGTTTTTTTTTTTTCAAATTATAATCCGGCCCTCCAACAGTTTGAGGGACTGTGACCCGGCCCTCTGTTTAAAAGGTTTGTGGACCCCCTGTTCTACAACATAGAAATTGTTATTTTGGAAGCTGAAATCTCATTATATTGCATTTAACAATATTTGAGTTACTATTTCTGACGTCACGTACTTATGGTATATAGTAATTGTTAATTTGGAAGCTTAAGTTTCATTGTGTTGACAAAATATTGATAAACAATCTTTCATTTATAAACAGTTACTAATTAATTGTGTTAATGTTCCCACGTTATGTTTAATGAAGAATTTCCTGTAATATAGAAATTGTGATTTGCAATCTGGAGTTTTTGTATTTATTTTTAGCAAAATTGGATCAGCAGTTTGGGGAGCAGCATTTAATGTCCTCAGCAGTAGCATGGCACATAAAATGAAATACTAGTGCTATGATTGTGTAATGCCGTTATCTGTGCAAAATAAGCACTAATTTTGTGCAAAATAAATCCCAAACGTCTCCTTGCGAGGATTTCCCAACACTCAAGAACATTTTAAAGAAACATTTTTGAACAATTTTGAATGTTCTTTTCACATTTTGGCTAGTGTGTCAGTTACAGATTTCCCACTGAGCCATGAAGTCCACCCCGTGACTTTTGGCAAATCTCTCTGCCAAACCTGCCTCAACCAATTGTCCTAATAACAAAGCAAAGCAGAAGTGCCTGTTTTGAGACCACTAGAAGAAAGGCAAAATAAAAAGGTAATTAAAATATAAATGTTCTGTCGCGCGCTGGGCCTGTAACAGCTGTACTTTTCTATACGACGCATACTTTAAGCCCAGCGGGAAGCCAGGAGGCCTCGAAGAGAGGTTCTCAGGGATTTTTCTGAAGTGATGGTCTTTAGAGTTTTATTTATTTATTTATTTATTTACTCCATTTGTATACCGCATTTATCAGCCTGAGACGGCGACTCAATGCGGTTTACAATAAAAATGAGCAACACTGACAGTAAATAAGACGCACATACACAAACAACACACATAGTCATCAACGCCTCAATTAGAATCAGATCCCGTTCTCATAGTCCTTTTCCGTTCCTTGTTCAAAGTGCCGTCTTACTGAGTTAGTTGTCATTGCATAGTTAGTTGTCATTGCAAACGCCTGTTCATAGAGCCACGTCTTCACCCTCCTCCGAAACACCAGCAACGAAGGGGCCTGCCTGATGTCCACTGGTAGGGCATTCCATAGCCGAGGGGCCACCACCGAGAAGGCCCTGTCTCTCGTCCCCGCCAACCTCACTTGTGACGCCGGCGGGACCGAGAGCAGGGCCTCCCCGGACGATCTTAAGGTCCTCAAGAGTCTTTAATGATACAACAAAGTCTTTATTATGGAACAAACAACAAATCTTCAATGGTTCAAACAACACTTTAAGGCTTTCTTAGTCTAGTCTTCAATGGACTGGCACCAGACTTTGATCAACTGAACATTCTCTGTAGGAAAAACCCTATTTAACCTCTCCCAGGCTGCTTTCTATCTATGCTTCATCGATGTGGGTGCTGCTACCGAATCCAAGTGCGTCTGGGTATCGAGCAGACCTTACCGGCTGAGGCTTGAAGATATTTCAGCTGAGTTCAGTGAATTTCAGTTTCCCTGGATGGTCAGTTTCCGTGGATGGTCCTTTTCCCCTGGATGGTCTTTTCCCCTGGATGATCTTTTTCCCTGGAAGTTCTTAAGAAAGGAAGCTTTTCTACGGGACGAGCTGGTCTACATCCTATAGCTTAGCTACCTTGTGTGAGACTGCCCGAAATGGCTCCTTTCCCTCCCAGAAGCCTGAACAAGGGGCGGAACCAAAGCTTAATTAAGATGGACAGGAGGCCTGCCCTATAACTGCAAACTTTAACAGAAAGAAATAAAGTTGGAGCTCCTGGTACAGCCGTACCAGAACAATAAATATAAATAATACCATTGTCTCAGCACTCACCAATGTCCCTCTGATTCACTGGTCGGTATAATGAACTTGTCTCTGAAACAGAACTACTGGTTCGTTTCCGATTCTGGAGTTGACCCTAAAAAAAAAACAAGCTGGATGTCATAAAGTACTGGTGATGTTGTTCAAAATAGACTCTTTTCCACTCTCACAGCCTGAGGCAGAGTGTTCAAGTGGATGCTCAGGCCAACGAGAGATGGGAATAGGAAATGGGGACCCTCCAGCTCCTCTGGAGATGCAGACATGAAGTCTTTAGTACCAGTTGACAAATAAATATTAATACACTGTAAAATAGTATCTGGAGATCTTGTGTAGCCAGGAGCAACGGTCATTTTTTACTGATACAAACTTGGAAAAGACCTGTCTTGAACACCTGCTTAGTCTCAAGAGATGATAGCTCCTTGACATGCCCAGTGGCCCACTTGTGTGTGCCCAGAGGGATGTTTCCATCTTGCCCTCCCTCCCACAGAGCCAAATGTCTGAGTGGGAAGTACCTCCTCTTCTCTGCCCAGGATCACCAACTGCCGATCTTGTAGAGACACGCTGGCCACATCCCAAAGGTGAGAGTGAGGAGTAACACCTGGAGCCAGCAGGACAGAAGAATCACCACCTGCAAGATGGAAATGTTGTCAAAAACTGGTGGAGAAAGCCTCAGGAGAATACACCTTGGGAGAATACACCTTGCACTGTCTTCACACATGCTCTTTGCTATTCCTCCCAGAGATCCACTCACCACCTTTCTTGACAGACTCCCATTGGGTTGTGTGCAGGGCGGCTCAACTCATTACGCAAAGTAAGCATTCGCAGTATAGTTGATTTTGCCCAGGGGCGCTCTTAAGGCACTCTTGGGGGAAAATAGACCTTGACATATGTGAGTTGTAGTTACTGGGATGTATAGTTCACCTACAATCAAAGAGCATTCTGAACTCCACCAATGATGGAACTGAACCAAATATGGCACACAGAACTCCCATGATGAACAGAAAATATATATCAGTGATGGGGGGGGGGGGGGATACTGTTTGCTTACCGTTGAAAATTACCTAGGGCTGTCTCTGGTTGCGTGCCTGAATCAGGTATTGTAAAGGTGCAAAAGGATATAGACATGAGGTCTAATACATTCTACCAAACTGAGAATGTACTCAAACTGAGAATGTAGCAATGAGTCTAGGAGGACAAAAGACAGCGGACTCCTCAGTCATTTCTATGATATCTCCCTCCAGAGGATTTACACTGCCCTGTATCCCAGGATCTGATCCCAGATTATCTGTTTATCACAGATTATCTGGCAGTGTAGACTTATATAATCCAGTTCAAAGCAGATAATCTGGGATCAGATCCTGGGATATAGGGCAATGTAGATCCAGTGTAGAATGTGCTGTGTGCCCTACATTTCTGCCTAGAGTTCTTTCTTTCTTTCTTTTCCTCCTTCCTTCCTTCTTCTTCTTCCTCTTACTCCTCTTCCTCCTCCACTCCTCCTCCTTCTTTTGTACTAAAGCTCCCAGAATCCCTCAACTCCTGACTTCGCATTTTGCAAGTTGTAGGTTACAGGGAGTGACTCCTTCAAGATCTGTCCCTGCCCGCATTGCAACATGGACAATACTTTGGAGGAATCTTTTGAAGGATATTACCACACGCACCAGAAGCACTTCAGGCCAACCCAGCTCAACCCATTCCCTTTTTAATGAGTGGCGCTCCGCAATTATTTGCCAATTTAGTAATTATGAACAATATTTGCATACAGCATAATCTTGATTCAAAGATATTTGGTGTAATTAGGAAGGTCTGAGGAAAGGAAGCCAACCTCCTATAATCCAATGAGTTAGTACCTAGAGTTCAAAATAAAATTTGAAGATGGCATTATTTGCAGGTTGACTTGCTTTGCATAATTGTGGTGCTTCATTTGTACACGTCTATTAGTTTTACTAGAATTCAGGTATTTGTTTCTAGAAAAAAGCATCATGGGGACAGAAGGAGAGGTACAAGTGACTGCGTAGTAAAACTTATTCCAGGCTTTGAGGTTTCCAAGCCAAAATCTGAAACAGCCTTGGTGATTTCGTAAGTGTCAGGACAGTTGTTCACAGCTTGTCCCTCAAGCAAATGCAGGCAGATGATATTTTATTGACAAACCCACTATATTTTATGGCAACCATGCTGTAATTGATAGCTGATGTGTACTAAGTTGAGCACCAATGATATTTCACCTCTTTTTATTTGTGCAGTTGCACCAATTCCGCAATCCATGATCCCACAATCATACCGTATATTCCAGCATATAAGACAACTGGGCGTATAAGATGACCCCCAACGTTTCCAGTTAAAATATAGAGTTTGGGATATACTCGCCGTATAAGACTACCCCTCTTCCAACGCACACCAAATAAAAATTTTAAAAGCATCAGATTTGATTTCAATATGGTAATTTTTCTATTACTGTACCTCCTTCTCTGCTTCTCAGATCTTGCATATGCACACCTGCACCGCTTCACTGCAGTCTTCAGGAGCGAGATCTGAGAGGCAGAGGAGGAGGCACGGTAATAGGATACAAGGGTGGGCCAGACAGGTAAAAGAGGTGTGTTTTTCTGGACCCAGACCCACTTTATCTCTTTTTTCCGTACCCCGAGCCTCCCGGACACCTGCAGCTTGCTCTGCCCTTCACTTACACCTTCCTGGTGAGGTGCCCCTTCATCTCACCATCGGGACCGCATTAAGTCCATGAATCCTGATTAATGGATTTTATTCTATCATACTTAGAATCATAGAATCAAAGAGTTGGAAGAGACCACATGGGCCATCCAGTCCAACCCCCTGCCAAGAAGCAGGAATATTGCATTCAAATCACTCCTGACAGATGGCCATCCAGCCTCTGTTTAAAAGCTTCCAAAGAAGGAGCCTCCACCACACTCTGGGGCAGAGAGTTCCACTGCTGAACGGCTCTCACAGTCAGGAAGTTCTTCCTCATGTTCAGATGGAATCTTCTCTCTTGTAGTTTGAAGCCATTGTTTCACATCCTAGTCTCCAGGGAAGCAGAAAACAAGCTTGCTCCCTCCTCCCTGTGGCTTCCTCACACATATTTATACATGGCTACATATCTCCTCTCAGTCTTCTCTTCTTCAGGCTAAACATGCCCAGCTCCTTAAGCCGCTCCTCACAGGGCTTGTTCTCCAGACCATTGATCATTTTAGTAGCCCTCCTCTGGACACATTCCAGCTTGTCAATATCTCTCTTGAATTGTGGTGCCCAGAATTGGACACTATATTCCAGGTGTGGTCTAACCAAAGCGGAATAGAGGGGTAGCATGACTTCCCTAGATCTAGACACTATGCTCCTATTGATGCAGGCCAAAATCCCATTGGCTTTTTTTGCCACCACATCACATTGTTGGCTCATGTTTAACTTGCTGTCCACGAGGACTCCAAGATCTTTTTCACACATACTGCTCTCGAGCCAGGCATTGTCCCCCATTCTGTATCTTTGCATTTCGTTTTTCCTGCCAAAGTGGAGTATCTTGCATTTATACTCCCGTGTATAAGACTACTTTTGCGTATAAGATGACCCCCGCATATAAGATGACCCCTGACTTTTGAGAAGATTTCCTTGGGTTAAAAAGTAGTCTTATACACCAGAATATACGGTACCTTTGTAAGCCTGCTTTCCAGCATTTCTGCTGCTTTACATTTTTAATTTTTGTTTTCTTTAGAGTTATTTTGCAATTTAAACAATAAAAAAAAAGATTAATATAACTTTAAATATAAAATAAACAAGCAGCTTTGGAATCATGAAGGTGGGGAATAGGAGAGAAGAGGAGAGAATCTTGTCCCCTGATATCACTTTTCTGAACAGAAGTAGAATGGATGCATTGCACTAAGGCTGCTGACAGGATCATTGCAAGATCGTGAGCTATTGATAGGTTTTCCCAATTAGTAGTAAGGAATAGTAAATCACAGAGAGGAGGCAGACCGGCAGTGGAATTTGACTGGCATCATGGATAGGGACTGTCAACACAGGTGATAGTCCAGTTTCAATGATGAGAGAAAAAGAGAGAATTAACAGACTTTCTGGTTTGGAAATTAAGACTTTTAAAGTAATATATTTTACTATTACTAACTGAGAGGTAATTTGTCAGACAAGCAATCAGGAACTGACGGTTGCCTGCTTGAATAAGGAGATTGCATATCTGTTTACCTACTTGCCATAACTTTCAGTTTAGTCAGTTCTACAGACTCTCGTGGTATCAAAATGACTCAATGAATTGCTACCTATAAGAGTGCAATGAGCCCCTATATTCTGCTGTAGTCCAACAGAATATTTTATTTTATTTTCTTATATTATTTTATTTCTTTATATTATAGCCGGTCTGAGTCCCTCTACGGAGGTTGAGAAGATCGGGATAGAAAATTTTTAAATAAATAAATAATAATATTGTCACCTTGTTGACGGGAAGCTTCCCACCGGAGTGGAAATCATCTGTTAGGCAGATGGCAAGCTGTTTAACCTCAGCAGACTGAAAGCCAAAACCAAGGTTACAACAATATCTGTTATAGAACTCCAGTATGCTGATGACAATGTCATCTGTGCACATTCAGAAGAAGACCCACAAAACACCTTCGCAGAAGCATACGAGCAGCTCGGCTGGTCATTAAACATCAAGAAAACCAAAGTGCTGTTCCAGCAGTCACCAGCCAATCCCTCTCCAATGCCAGAAATACTTAATGGTGTAACATTAGAAAATGTTGACCATTTCCGCTACCTTGGCAGCCATCTTTCCACAAAAGTCAACACAGACACTGAAATTCAACACCGCCTGAGCTCTGCAAGTGCAACATTTTTCCTAATGAAGCAGAGAGTGTTTGAGGACCGGGACATCCGTAGGGATACCAAGGTGCTTGTTTATAAAGCTATTATCCTCCCAACCCTGCTATATGCCTGCGAGATGTGGACTGTCTACAGACGTCACATGCAACTCCTGGAATGATTCCATCAGTGCTGCCTGCAAATCTCTTGGGAAGACAGGCAGTCAAATGTCAGCGTGCTTGAAGAAGCAAAGACCACTAGCATTGATGCGATAGTCCTCTACCATCAACTTCACTGGACTGGCCACGTTGTCCAGATGCCCGACCACCGTCTCCCAAAGCAGTTGCTCTACTCCGAACTCAAGAATGGAAAATGGAATGTTGGTGGACAGGAAAAGAGATTTAAAGATAGGCTCAAAGCCAACCTTAAAAACTCTGGCATAGACACTGAGAACTGGGAAGCCCTGGCCGTTGAATGCTTTAGTTGGAGGTCAGCTGTGACCAGCAGTGCTGCAGAATTTGAAGAGGCACGAATGGAGGACGAAAGAGAGAAACGTGCCAAGAGGAAGGCGCGTCAAGCCAACCCTGACCAGGACCGCCTTCTACCAGGAAACCAATGCCCTCACTGTGGGAGAAGATGTAGATCAAGAACAGATTGCTTTGTACTAATCACAGAACAGTTTTCCCAGATAGAACTCATTAGCTGTTTTATAATTCAAGTACAATAGTATTGTCAACAAGCTGAGTCCTGCCATTGAGTAGTTTTCTGATTTGCTGGTTAGACCGCTGACTAATACATGTAATGGTTAGACAAGAC